AGAAACAGTTACATCAATTCCCATCAACTGCTTTCTCTCCAATGCTTTGAGCGATGTTTCCACTTACATAGACGTTGCAAGCAATGGCTTCAAAAATCAGACCCATCACCTCCTGGAACCTCCCTTCAGAGCGGGAGGCCTCTACAAGGAGCCTCCAAGCGTTCTCCTCTGTTGCTTCCTCATAGTTTTGTTTTGTTTTTAACACCATGTGGCCAGTGATTAATTTTCCACAAAGTCGGGTTGACCTGAAAGTCAAGAATGGGTTTACTTCCCCAAGTGCCTGCTTCTCAGCATAACACTGTAATTGTTTCAAGCAGCAAAGTCAATCAGCACCCCAGATGCGATGTGCATAGATAAAAAGGCTCAAAGGGTATAACCATAAACTGCAGCAAAGAACAGACAAAAAATGGTGCCAAAGTTTATTACCTAGGAAAATTCGTTTCCAGAATCAGAGATGTGGACATTGTAAGGGATGTTGTCATCTTAAAGGCGGATACAAGATTCAGATACAACATTAGATAAATCAATCAGAGTATTGCTGCCCTCAAACAATGAAGTAGAAACCTTTATCATGACGTAGAATATTGAAGGAACCTTGCCGTCGCCGTCTCCGACGGTTGAGGGAGGAGAAGAGAAGAGAAGAAATGAAAAAATTGCAGGGGCGGGGGTTGCAGAGGCATCTCCGACGGCGGTAGAGATTCATTGTGTGTCGATAAGGGTGAGGAGGCGGTGGGGAGGGACTAGGAAGAGAAGAGAATAGAAAGGAAATGAAAAAAAGCGGGTTAATTGAATTTGATAATTTTTTTGAGTGCAGATCGTCGTTAAGTCTGGATTCCGTTAGTTTCAAACAAAAGAGGGAGAGGGTGGTGTGTTCGGTTCTTATTGGTTGGGACAGAAAAAATTCTGTCCCCAGGGGACAGACGATCCGAGCTCACCAAAATGCAGAGAAACAAAAGCTCATACCAGGAACCGACCGCAGTCATTCAACTTCCTTGGGACGAGGAACAATCCCGACACCATCTTTGGCAAACACTTTTGGGATTCTCCGAACATTTTCCTGTCTGTATTACCCCGATAGCAATGGCTAAACCCACTGCGCTGATTCGTTCGTTGTGGGTTCGATAACCTTTTCTATGTCTCATTCTCATCAGTAGAAGTCTTGGCATCACTACCATCTTCTATAACTGAATCCTTTTCCTTCATATCTTTTGCTACTTCCAAATCCGAAATGGCCTCCCCATCTTCAATCTACCTGAATACAGAAAAACAGAAAACCAACATCAAAGCTTTATGTAACCAAAAGTGCAGAGAAGCATCGACAAGGAAGGAAACGTTGGAGGAAAGACTTATATATATGGCTATCACAAAGATAGTAAAGAGAGCGCAAATCAAGATAAAAGAGAAGCCAAAAAGGAGATGTCTCGTTGACGGTCTGCTTCGTTGGCGCCAATGTTCTGTAGGTCCATTGCTGGTCAATCCTCCTTGGCGGAGTCTCCTTGGGTCTCGAAGGTGCTTGATGATCTGCATCACAGAAACTGATCAAATAAAAAAAAAGCGCTTAAAGAGATATCATGAAGAGAGAGGAAGACGAACCTCCCACTGTTGACGATGAAGCTTTCCGAGCTCTTCTGTAGTCTTCTCTATTGTGGTGGCTCCCATGGCTGTTTCTTTGCTTTCGGCCACAATTGATGACAAAGAAGAGGAGAAAGGTAGAAAACCCTCAAGGACTTGTGTCTTGTGAGCCTCTGCTACACACAATATGCTATTAATTTCAAGGCATAGCAATTAACTCAAAAAAAGAGATGATGAATAGTGTCTTGAAGAAGAAGAAGAAGAAAACGATGAATAGTATTTTTTAAGGATAATTTTGAAATTTTAAAATACTAGTAAATGTGCACGTGTAATTCACACGGAAATTTTAAATTATTATTATTATTATTATTATTATTATTAATTATTATTGTTGTTATTATTAGCATTTTACTAGAGTTTGTATTCCATTTTTATCATTTAATAAAAATATTTATTTTAACAATTATGTTTATTTAATATTATGTGTATATAACATTATAAATGTTATCAAATGTTTTGGACAAAATACTTAGTTGGATCATTGACCAACCATCAAGATAGGAAAATAGGTTTTCTTTCATATCAATTTTAAATTTTATATTTAATCTACACTATATAAATATTTTTTTCTTATCACACTTAATTTTTATTTGATATAATTAATATATAATATTAGAGATGTGTCCAATTTTTTATAATATTTTATGTTCTTTTAATTCTTTTTTATTTTTTAAAAATGTATTATTTAATTATCACATCATCGATTAATCCAATTGACCCAAATCACTAACCCATTACCGAAAAAAGAAAATGGTTTGATTTCTAAGTTGACTTTAAATTTTGTATTAAAATTTTATCATTAATAAAATTAGTTCTTATGTATGATGAACGTATAATATTAGAAAAGTAAATAAGTGGCCATATTTTTTTTTCTAATTTTTTCTTTAATTTTGCCATTCTTTGTATTTTTTTATCTTTAAAAATGTTATTATTTAATTATGGTATCATTTCATTTCTAGGTTAATTTTAGATTTGATATTCCATTTTTATCATTAATAAAATTACTTCTTACATATAATACTTATTTTTTATTTATTATAATAAATATATAATATTAAAGAGTTCAGTTTCAAATATAAGAAAGAAATTTGATTTAATACTTATTTTATAGCATTATTGGTTATTGGGGATGGGACTACACAGCAAACCTATGACACCTGATGAAGGTGGAATTCGACCCTTACTATCTAACCGGCACCTTGCAATTAACACCTGAATTGTCATGGACTCATGGTTATGCTTATTTTCTTATAGAAAATACATTATTCCAACGGGGTCGATCAGGATGTTCCAAGCATGTAGTGCCCGTTAATGGGTCGGGTCAGCAATCAAAAGATTCTGACCTAATTATTATAGTTAGAACACAGTGTAACCTAAACCCTATATAATCGGATTGGTTCGGTTCAGTTGCTCGTCCAAACGATTGACAGCACACTGGCGTAGGCCACAGCACTGCAGCTACAAGTATGAAAGGATGATTTAAAGAACCTTATTACTTTTCACAGTATAAGAAAATTATCTCTCTCTCTCTGCAATGGATTTATAAAAGAAGATACAATAACAAAAGGGTTGTCAGAACCCTCATTTTCTAATTTTGTTTTTTCAGAGCTCTCTTAATTGGAGATGTGATTTGATTTAAATATGCTAATATAAGATCACGCGTTATATATATTTATAAGTATTAGGCTATTAGTCATATATATGAAATATGATATTTGAATTAATGAATTTAATTTTTATGACTTGAACATACTTAAAAAGGCAAATATTGGCTTTATATAGTATAAATATAAATATGCTCATAAATGCTTAATACCATGTCTATTAATAATTATGATTTGAATGTTGTGTTTTGACTCAATTGCCGTAGGTGTGAATTTTTCATTTTGTCTTTGTAATACAATATTAAATGCATTTTATTTTATTAATAGTCTAATATTTTTTAGCTGCAAATAATATATAATATTTTGATAATATTTTGTTAATTTATTCAATATTTGATTGCAATTTTACTTTTCTTAAAAAAGGGTAAATTTCTGAAACCTCCTTTAAAGTTTTAGTTATTGCCGAAACATTTTCTGAAGTTTGATAATTGCAATCATCTCCCCAGTTATAAATAGGCCCCTTTTGTTAAAATCCTTTAAAAAGAGGTATAAAATGTTCAAAATACCTATGTGGTTACTTTTCACCAAAAATGTTTATTTTTTAATTTTTTTTTCATATGAATCACTAGCCCAAACCTTTCCAATCTCTTTTTTTTTTTTAATTGATTTATTTTTCAACTTTACCCTTCATACTAATCACTCAAAGATAAAGTTATAACCAATGTTTTTGAACTGTCGTTGATCCAGACGGTTAGACATTTTGGATCGAAAACCGTTTAGGCGACTGGTTCCATTTTACTCCAAACCCAGTATTTGGTAAAAAACCGTTGAATCAATGAACCATTGACCAAACAGTTTGACTGTTAAACTGTTCGATCTAGAGAATGATTTGCGACAAGGTTTTAAAAATTGAGAAATCTCATATCTGAGACTGAGAAATCTCATATTTGCGTAAATTTCTCTCTCGCGTAAGACAGTGAGAGAGATTTGAGATGTGTGAGACAGTGAGAGAGAGTGAGATATGAGACTGAGAAATCTCAGATCTACTTTCATTGCCAATTTGCCACCATCGTGCCGCTGTTGCCGCTGTAGTTCGCCATCGCCGTCGTTGCCATTGCAACCTGCAACTCCTTCTTCTTTTAGTCGATAGTTTTCTCAAATCTCTCTCATTCAAACCTTATTTTCTCTTATATAGTATGCATCTTACCCTAATATTCCAATCTAATGAGTAAGACATTCGAACCGTTTGATCCGGACGGTCGAACCGCTAACCTGGAAACTGGTGGCCAGAACGATTTCGTTTTTGGGTCAATTTTTAAAACCTTGGTTACAACTTTAAATTTTCTTTTTTTTTTTATTGTTATTGTTTTTCCATAGAAACCAGCCTTAATAGTAATTGCACGAGTATGTTGAACATTTTTATACCTCTTATCATGGTTCAAAGTGTCAATATGATACGCCCGATACGGGACGTAACGTATCGTATCTTTTGAAAAAGATACGGTTTGAAACGCCTTTTTGCAGGGTTTCAGACCTCCATTTTTTTTAGTAATAAAAAATATACTAAAAGCTTCCCAAAAAACCAAAATTTGAAAAAAAAAACTTAAAAAAATAGAATTTCGACCATTTCTAAGTACTGATACGATACCATACTTTGAACCTTACCTTTTATTAACAAATTCTAACAAACAGGGTCTACTTTCAATTGTATCAAAAAGCTTATATGAAGTAAGGAAAAGTTAACAATTTACCCTAAAAAATATAATCCGACTTCATTCGAATAAAAGTACGGAGAGGCCCAATACAGATTTCTCACTCAATGCACCAACGCCTGCCCATAAATTGGCATCACTTCCGAACCCTGAGGTACTACTGTCGGACTCGTGTCCAATTTGAGGATTATGGTCGCCGAACGCCGATATAGGTATTTGGACAATTTATCGACACGCAGAGACATTCTTTTCTAACTTCCCTACTCTCCTACATCTTTTCCACGCCAAAGCCAATTTGGAGTGCTTTATGCTGAAGCTCTTAGACTTCATTTATGTGAGTATCAATTCTGATAATTTAACTGATTGATTATTTATTGACTTTTGGTATTCTTAATGGTTTCTGCTTATCTATTTCTTTTAATTCTACACTATTTGTTTCTAACAGCTCAAACACCTTGTTACTCAAAATTCCACCATTTCACCTTAGGTATTTCAAATTATATGTTTCTGATGTTTCAATTTTCCATATTTGGTGCAGTTCTCTGAATTCCGTAAACCCACATTATTTGTTTTATCGTGCTGTTTTTTCCTGTTCTTAGGTTCGTTTCAAGTTCTTTTGTTTGGTTGTCAGTGAGGCATAGGTAAAAAAAAAAAGAAAAAGAAAAAAGAAGGAAATGGTTCTCACAAATTTCAATGGCACCGGTGTTGGATTTGGTATTTGCTACTTTTTGACTTATTATTCTGCCATTCCTTTTAATTTTATGGCTTTTGGACTACTTAATAACTCTTTATGAGAATTTTTGTTATGCCGTTTCCTTGCTACAGGTTTCGGCGTTGGATGTGGTTTTGGTATTGGATGGGGTTTTGGAGGTCTGTTTTACTCCAATTCAATTTACCGATGCACCATATAATGTGTCTATTGTACATTGCACGACATTTTTTCAGCTTTCTCCTTTATAATAATGTAAAACCTTTGGTAAATCGATCTTATATTCTCTGCAGAACCAAGAGCCAAAAGTCTAAATAAAAAAGATATATGTCCAATGACTGGCACACCTAATGATTTCACCCTGATATGCAGGACTAAATACCTTCCTCTGAGGAACCAACTAAAAATGAACTTTAAGAAGTATACCTTTAAGGTAATTTGTAGTGGATTGATGGATCTAGGTTAGAGTTAGACTAGGATTTAAGAAAAGAATGAAAACAAAACTTTCTCCTCAATCTTTGATTCGTGAGTCTGCAAACTTTCTGATAATACTTATTTCATTATATTTTTTATTGTTGATGAAAAAGTAAAAGAGCAAGTTAAAATCAGTAAATAACCAGTTCCTGTAATCCACGTGACCAAATGGGATCCAGAGGTCTGCTAGGTAGTTGTTCTGCTGTTCTCCTGCCTGATTAACTTTTTTTCATAACACTGCATATGCAAATGTGAATATTCTTTATTGATTCCTTTTTGATACATAAAGAAGATGTTTTAACAAAAGTTATTCCCCAAACCGCCTCCCCAAAAGGGAAAAGAAAAGAAAAGTAAAGAAAGAAGGTTAAGCTCACCAGTTAGCCTCAAAATTAACCTTGCTGTGCATATTTTTATACTTTATTTTTGGCCTATTTTCCTGATATTTAGATGCACCTTCCACATTCTGTGTCACATGATTATTGCCTCCCTGTTAAATGTTCCTTATAGCTTAGAATTAGCTTCTAGCATGGCTTCCATCCCCTTTTCAGCTCCCCTCCCCACCCAGCCCTCATGTCCCACCCTGTTGGCTCTCAGTTGTCGACCAATGGTCTCCCTCAACTGATGGTCTTTCTCCATTTTAGTTTAGGTGCTTTGAGTCAATCAATGACAACTGAGAGTGATAAGTCGTCTCCTTCCACAGCTGTGTGTATTTGATATTTTCTCCTCTGAATTAAATTCTTAGCACCTTAGGGGTAGGATCCAGGATCCACAGATATTTGGATCCTTGTAGCTTTGAAATTTGATATGATCATTATAGATTATCAGAAGGTGCTTCAGCCCATAGTATGAATTCTTGGTTTTCTTCTCCTTCATAAAATCATATTCTAAGTTGTTCAAATGTCTTAGAATTCCTTCAGTATTTTTGTGTCTTTGTATAGCATAATTAGGAAGAGCTTCAAGGACATACTTAAATAGCTTTGCCAGCTAAACTTGAAGTTCTGGCTTTCCACCCTAGCAATCTAGCCATAGTTTCTCAAATAAAAAGGTAAACATTTGTTTTGTAGTTCTTCCCTGCAAAATAGTTAGATTTGTACATTTCCTAGGTTTTTGTAAACCTTTCATTTTGGAAGTATCAGTTAATATTTTAGTATGCTTTCTTGTAATATTGTTTTTGAAAAATAATGGTTACTTCACTAAATTTAAGGTAAGACCTGAGTCTGCCTGGATTTTCTTAACAATAACTGAAGTGGACTCATAGAGATTTATTTATTTTTTTCTGAGTAAAAAGTGACTATGATTATATTAAAAAATAAGGAGATACATGAGAAGATGTACACCAAAGCGAAACAGAGAAAGGACTACAGAGGTAGAGCACTATCACTAAATAAACATTCTCTATTAGGTAACCCGTCTTCTACAGTGTTCAATTCCCTGGGGATCCAGTTCAACTTAGTCTGCATTGAGTCCAAAATGTCTAGCTTTTGCCAAGAGATGAGCCAAACTCCAAGGCCTGCTGTCTTTTTCCTTTAGCCATCTTATCGTATTGGCTGAATCACCTTCAATAGCTAGGGAGGAAATTCCTAACATTTTAGCACAACCAAGACCTGTGAGGGCTGCCACTATTTCTGCCTTTGTAGATATAGCACAACCAATCAGGCCATTAAAGGCCCAACATATGTTCCCTTCTCTGTCCTGGATTATACCTCCAACCTCTGCTAGACTAGATGATCCTTGAGCACTCCCGTTGAAACTTAATCTCATCATCCTTTCCTCCCTTTTATAGCAAAGGTTAGGAGTATCTGTCTTGGGGAAGGCAAAAGGATTTCCACTAGGTTTTGTTGGAGATCATTCAAAGAGAGTCTAGCTCTAGAATTTATGGCCCACAGGTTGTAATGGAAAGTAATAGAGGAGATCATATCTTCTATGTTCTCGCTTTATTCTCAAACACCATATTGTTCCTTTCTTCCCATACACCCCACATAACAGCTTGAACTACCAGCCCTCCAATACAGCTTTCCTCTTCTACCTAAACCTGTACCTTTCCATTGCCACATTACCTCCACTACCTTCTTAGGAAACACCCACTTCATAGAGATTTTTTTTTGGACAATAAAGGATACAAACAATGTTACAATAAAAAATGGGTGATACAAAACACTGAAAGAGATCATAAAAGACAAAGAAACAACTTCCTCCCAGCACAATGCAACTTCCCCTGCTAATCCAAATCCATAACAATCATTACCCATTCTCTTCCCAGTTATAACATAACTGCCAAGCATTAAACCCAAACCTATCAAAAATAATTACTGACAACACATGATCCCGCTTCCAAATACAACACTACCGACACCTAAATTCTTATAAATAAAAGCACACACCCACAAGAAATTTTAGCAGCTTCAAAGATTAGGCAGTCATCCTTGAAGAATAAATAAGATAGATTTGGAGCTCCTTGTGGAATTTTGGTAGTTTTTGGTGACTTCTGGTGTATCCTATTTTCAATCATTTTAGATAGAACATCCATGCACAAAATAAATAGGTAAAGGGATGATATCTCCTTGCCTTGTCTACCTTCAGGGTTATATGAGCCCAAGAGTGGTTGTAAAAGTCATAGTTCTGTCAATCGAATAATTAGCAAACCTTAAACTTTCTAACAACATCCTACCTAAGCTTTGGATGTGTCTTTCGGGCCTACATCACCTCTTCCATTTTAAGATATTTCATGTAATTAGCAGAAGTGAGGGATGCACATATCTTATCTTCAAGAGAACAGTACCTTGAAAATTAACCTTGGATTACATACCAAAGAAAAGTTTGGATTGAGTGAAGATTCTTAAATACACCATCCGTACCATTCTGTATATGTCCAAATACTTATTCCACATTCTTTCATGCTTTTGGAGAGGTTTGGTTTTTATTATATACCAGAAAAGCATCAATTTGACAGAGGACATGATAGAGTGCAATGGTGAGACAATTCATGTGGCCAACTCTAATAATCAGAATTAAGGTAGCAGAAACAATAGACTCCCTTGAATTTTCAACTATTTGATCAAACATTTTATCATGTACCCACATATATTAAATCCCAGAAGGGCATGGTTTAGAGGAACTCAACATTAGACTTTGCATTTGCCATGACCAGACCTATTCATTACCTGATATTTTCTGTTCCAATTAGACCTGTTCACGAGCTCGGCTTCGGGCCTGACTTTACACTATATTGGGCTCTGGCTTAAGGCCGGGCCTGTTCAAATTAGACCTGTCCACAACCATCTCCCCTTGGGTCAGATATGGTCTTAACTCTGGTAATCGAATAAAATTTTGGGAACAGACTTGGGTAGGGGATTCACCTCTGAAGGACCAGTTCCCCTCCTTGTATGCTTTGTCAGACTTGAAAAATGAATCTATTTCTTCTTTCTTAGATCCTTCAGATTCCACCTTTGGTTTTGGTTGGAACCTAGGCCTGAGAAGGGCAATTAGGGATACAGACTTGGACAACATCTTATCTTTGTTATCCATCCTTGAGAATGTCTTCCTGGATCCTAATAAGGAAGACACTAGATTCTGGGCTCCTTCCACCTCAAGTACTTTCTCTTGTGCTTCGTTTTTTGAAACTTTAACTCAGCCTCTTGTCACATTTGGGGTGTCCTTTCCAGTTAAAGAGATCTGGAGCAAGCCCATTCCTCTTCGGGTTGATAGTTTTTGTTGGGAAATTTTCCTGGAAAGAATTAACACAAATGATTTACTTCAAAAAAAGAGACCCAATTCTTGCTTACTTCCTAATTGGTGTACTCTTTGTAAAGCTGATGGGGAAACTGGTTACCACCTTATGGTTTCTTGTAAGGTCGCTAAAATTGTATGGGAGTGGGCTCTTTCCCTCTTTGGGTGTTCTTGGAATCCTCCCGAGAGTGTCCAGAGGATGTTCTCTTCTACGTTTTTCAGTTGGCCTAAGAAGAGAGGGAAGATTATGTGGAGGAGCATTAGGGCAACTGTATGTTGGTTCCTTTGGGAAGAAAGAAACTTACGAATTTTCTCAGACAAGGACAGATCCCTGGCAAACCTATTAGATCTAATACTTTTAAGGGCTGTCCATTGGCTAAAATCTCTGGAGCTGTTTTCAAACTTTCCTGTGGCTAACTTATTAAGAAATTGGAAAGAGATAGCTACTTCTGCTTTGTGTAAGAGGACTCCTAGTCCCTCATGGTCCCCTCCTCCCTCTAGATTTATAAAACTGAATTTTGATGGCAGTAGTTTGGGGAATCCAGGACGTTCTAGGATTGGGGGAGTGTTCGGGAATGAGGAGGGGGTTATTATTGCTTTGTTCTCAGGCTCCATTGGGGAAGGAGACTCTCTTAGGGCTGAGATTCTTGCAGCTCTGGAAGGAATTCAAAGAGCAAGGGAACTAAATATCAGACGTTTGGTCTTGGAAGGTGACTCGAAGGTGGTGATTAGCTGGCTGAAAGAAGAGGACAGTGGCTTGTGGAGCTATAACAATGAAAAGAAAAAATTCTGTTGGTTGGGCAGAGACATTGAGATGCACTATAGCTGGGTGAAGAGGTCTGCCAACTCATTTGCAGATGGGCTGGCCAAGCAGGGGGTGAATAGGGAGGCTCTCTTTTGGGCTAATTTTTAACTTTCTGTCTTTGTATTCTGTTGTTGTGAAGTTAAGTCTTTTTACCTCCCCTATTGTATCTAAACCTTCACAAATATTCACATCATTAATAAAGTTTTACTGTAATTGATAAAAAAAAGGTCTAGTTCCAATATGCTTGTTTGGCTAAATGTGCTTTTACTTGTATCACTTAATGCAAAAATCATATGAGAAGAGGTAGTATGTACCTTCTCTTTTAGTAATAAATCAGTTACCTCTTCTCAAAGAGAGAGAACCACCGCCGCTGCAGTGGCGATGATGGGAAGACAGGGGGCAGAGAGAGAGGGAACTGCCACCGCTGCAACTTGCAGCGGCAGTGGCGGGAAGACATGGAAGAGAGAGGGAGGGAGGGAGGGAGGGAGAGAGAGAGAGAGAGAGGGAATCCTTTGATGGTTTATATAAATGACTGGAAACATCCTAGATTTGGAAAAGTGCAGATTTTTGAGAACAGAAATCCTGTGATATGTTAGGAATCTCTTATAGAAAGCTGGAGAGGATGGCCTTTCTGTAAGGATTATATTGCCACAAATTTCTGAGATACAAGATGCTCATTGAAGTTTTGGGTTATCCCAAAATGAAGTTAACAATTGAAATCAATTTCATGTGTGTTGCAGAGAATCCAAAGACCTGAAAAACTAGTTGCTGTGACTGGTGCTGGTCCTGAATAACCCAGCTTTGTCCATTGCTTGTTCATCATTCACATGTTCTCTGATGGGACCATTAAATATGGTTTATTATTTTTCTGCTGAGGAAAGAGGAATTCCCAACCCCTCTATTGTTCAAGTATATGACTTTTTGCCATTTGATTTTTGCTGAGGGAATCTGGCACATCACATTTTGATTATTCAAGCAAGTGCAGGATACATTTCCTAAGGCTAGTGATATTAGTGGTAGTTTCTTGTTTTCAGACATGCATATGATCAATGTTTTGCTTGCATCAGCTACTTCATTCAATGGACAGTGATTTTAATCAATAAAACAGATAAAATTCTTGGCAATTTGTTTGTTTTTTGTTCATGTGAAATCATATTCTGCAAATGGATGATATTATTAGTGGGAGTAAGGTGCATCAAGTTTAGCACCAATTTATTAGATGCTTGCCCTTCATAACCTTTGTGCATTTTCTTCCCAACACATTGCAAATTCTGAGTTAGTTTTTGTCTTTATTCCAACCATTTTATTACTAACTGGTGACGTTTATTTGCTTCAGGCATGCCTTTGCATATAATGGGTCTTGGTATAGGTACATTCTACAAAATGGTTATATTTTCAATAATTTAACATTTATATCGCATGCCTCATTTTTGTTGAATTATTCATGAAGGTGGTGGATGTGGGGTAGGACTTGGTCTTGGATGGGGCTTTGGATCTGCCTTTGGTAGTCAATACCGTTCCAGTGAGATCACATTTCAGGGCATCAATTTCAATGCCACAAGTCAAGCCAATGAGACTACAGCTTTGTCAAATAGGCAGGACGGTTGTACTTCAAAGTAGCTTTCACACTGTTCATTCGTCATAATGCTGCCGTAACCTTATCAATCAAAGGTGTGTGGGCTTCAGAGAACTAGACTTGCATAGTATTTTATGATCTCTATTTTTTAGACAATTATGGTACAATATGATTTCCTATTGAACAACAAAAGGATGCAATATCAATATGATATTTGATATATGTATCAGTCAAGTGCCTGGAAAATTTGTGGTGAAATTGGAATGAGCTTCTACTTACAATTGGGGATACCTCCCACCTTGGCTTTATTTGGTTTCTCGGGAAGTTATTTGAAAAGGGAAAGTTGATAAATGCTTTTAAGGTATTTTATGAAATTCCTTGAGAACTTTCTTACGACTCTCCCATTCTCAATTCATATCCAAGAAACTAGAAACTAAACACAGCATTGGCTTCTACTGATTTCTGTTTATGAAATAAGCTTCATCAATGCCACAGAAGTGAAAAATCCGATTGGGCCATAAATTAGAGGCCATTTCTTGATAGAGATAAGCTAATAAGGATCAAGTTCAACTGGTAAGGGACCAGGAGGATGTCATCCAAACTCTGGGAGTCCGGGACAGATTTTAATTACAAACTTGTAGTTATGGTTACTGAGACTAGGGGGGAAACAAATAGCGAAAAGCGGGGGAAAGGTCCCAAGAGAGTGGAGATTTTTTCTCTAGGGTTTTTTCATTAGAGGCGCTCTCAAAGGGATTTCTTTGGAGGTGGCTCCCTTCAGGGAATCTTGAAGGGAGCCGCTCATCTGGGCTCTCCTTCACCTTCCTCCTTCTGGTTTCTCTCCCTCCATCTCCCTGTTTTGAGAGAGCCTTCCTCTCGAGTTTTCTCGAGATTTTCCTCTTGAGTTTCTCAAGGTTTTGTTTTTCTGTTCGTGGTTCTCGTTCAAGTCCATTGTTCGCCAGCAAAGACAGTCTTTTGGTTTCCTCTGTCAGTTCGCGGTTCTCTGGCAGTTGCTGTTCATGGTGAGTTCCGTTCGTGGTTCTCCGGTTGATGTTGTTCATAGTGAGATCCGTTCGTTGTTTTTCAGCGATGGTAGCCTTTTGGAATCCTCCCCTGTCAGTTTCATTCGCCATTTGTGGTGGATTGGAGATGTGCTCGTTTACTTCTGTTGGTGATTTGACTTCACCGTTTCTCGATTACAGAAGATCTTTAGGTTCTCCTTCATCCATTGTTATATTTTGGAGAAATTGTTTCTGGGTTTTCTGATTGGCCTTGTCAGCTTTTTTTGTATAAATTTCTTGATTGAATGAAATATGATGCCTAAGGGCGATTTCAAAAAAAAAAAAAAAAAAACTGAGACTATTTTATTTGGGAGTACACAAATTAGAGGGATATGGTGTGAGACCTCAAAAATTAGTTCCCTTTTTATCACAAGGATGAAGTCGACACTCACCATTGCAGGGTGGTGAGTCCCTAAAAAAATTCATTTATTTTTTGTGATACACTAGTGACTCCAATTAAGGGTGCTCATGGTTTGGTTAATCGAACTGTGGGCTTATTTTTGAAACCAAACCGGTATTATCAGTTTTTGGAAAATTGGTAATTGAAGCTGATTGGTTGACTAGTTTGGTTAATTATCAGTTCGATTTGTTGGTTTTTCGCTTTTCTATATTTATAATATATATTATAAAATATATATAATAAAAATTAAAAAAATATATAAAATATTATATTTTAAATAATAAATAATATATTATATATTATTAATATATTTAATGCATATTTATTAATTTATAATATATAGAAAATATTATATATGTATATATACATAAAATATATAGAAATACATGTATACCAAACCACCAGTCGGTTTGGTTTACTGCCGGTTTTCTATATTGGTTAATCAAAACCAAACTTGCACCTTCAGTTTTTTAAAAATGCCAAACCAACCAGTCCAGTTAACTAGATTTTCAGTTGGGTTTTGGTCTATTTTTTGGTTTGGTCCAGCTTTTTTGGTTTTTCTTTCTCACCCCTAACTCCAACTGGGTATGCATCTACCAAAAGAACCCTAGGCTTTAGGCTGGGAGAGGGAAGGGGTTAGCACTTAGCACCCCTCTCCTAAACGTAGTGAATTCCCTTTCCCGCGTCACATTCTCTTGACAGAAAAAAAAAGCGTATTCTAACATTTGTCAAAGACTAATTTTAATCGAATAGAGCAAATGAACAAATATTTAGATATGTTCGTGCAATCATGCTAATGGGAAGGCGTGGCCTGCATCCCTACACTCCTATACCATCACTTCTCCCGGTTTTGGTCTAAGGTTTAGCAGGTTGTTGGTTCTCAATTCTCATGTCTCTCTTTTCCACCTCCTTTGAAGTTTGAATCCTAAATATTATAGAGAAACGAGGGGAATGAGAGTTAATGTAGGCCTTTCAACTTAAAACCCTGCAATCCTTACTCAAGAATTTACAAAAAAAAAAAAAAAAAGCTAGGGGGTGTTCTTTCTAATGTTACCTACGATTTGGGAGTGTCCTTGAGAGATATCTGGATGTTGTATTGGAATGGCCGAGCAAAGGGGTGGGGTCCTGGGAGACTTAGCCGCTTGGGGCATTGTTTTGTTCCCTACATTAATGAGTTCCCCCCTCTCCTCTTTTTAAGTTTGGGATAATGGATATTTTAGGGAGAGTGTATGTAGGAAGGGTATGTTAGTCTTTTTATCTTTAGGGTTTAAGGTCTAGGGGCACTTTTGTACATCTGTAGGGGTAAGTGGATAATTTAGGGCTTAAGTGTAGAAAGTGAAGGTATTTTGGTAACATTTATTAGAATCTTAGTTCCATCAAAGGTCAAATGGGAGAATATTGAAGTGAAATTTGGCAAGTAGGAATTTCAAGAGATTAGGAGTCTAATGATAGGGGTGGTTAGGAAAGGTGTCATGATGACAAATTTGAAACTGGAAAGTTTTGACCAATGTAATTGTGGTTTAATTAGGGGTTAAATGAGGGTGTTTTGAAGTGAAATTTGATAGGTGAAGTTTTTGGGAGTGTTTGGGGCCTAATGAAAGTGTTAGAGTGGTCTAAGTAGTGTCAAAGTGTTGGATTCACAGAAGGTTTCAACCAATAAGAAGGGCTTTAAGGGGTAAAATGGAGGTATGGGTTGAAATCTATCAGATGGAGAATTTAGGGTATTTAAGGCTTAATGGCAACATTTGGAAGCTTGATTTCCAAGGAGAGGTTGTAGGGAATCTGTAAGTAATTTTCAGGGGGTATTTAAGCAACTTTCTAGAGGACTAAACTCCGAGGCTTTGGATGAGATTGGGCTTGGGGGGAGGGGGAAATTGGGTGCTGACACTTGGGTGGGGCGGCATGACATCGGGTGACAATAATCCAGGGCCAGATTTAGCTCTTGCTGTTGGCTTTAATTCAAACAGCCCCAAATGTGCATTGTAAAATAAAGCAACACGCCAACTCCATACAGCCACAAGGCAACCAAGCGGAACCTTCTACGATCTAAAGGTGAAATAAAGAACATAAAGTTTGAATACATGTTCTAAACATAAAAAAACATTGTCAGAAAACTTGGACCTCGGCTCCTCTAAGGACAAACCTCTGTCATGGTTCTAAATGTTTAAACTTGACTGTACTTGGTTTGATGTGTTTCCAATTTTAAGGCTTTTGGCATATTGGTCAATGGGTTAAATATATGGTATCAGAGCTTAATCACCATGTCTCAAATTCAGAACACAAAAAGGGTTGTGAACACTGTTTTAAAAATCGGATTACATTGGATAGTCGAACCATTTGACCTGAGAACTGGTCATGTATCTGGGTCCATTCTTCTTCTTCCTTCATTCCTTTATTTCTTTCTTTCTTTCCTTCTCTCATTCCCTCCTTTCTCTCTTTTTTTTTTTCAGCCAGCAGCCACCTAATTCTAGCCCTCTCCTTTTTCTCATAAAAGAAGAGAGAGAACTTTAATATACTCAATTTCCAATTTAAAGGTTAAATTGTCTAAACCGTTCAATCCGGATGATCGAACCACTGACCCAGAAACTGATGATCAAAGTGGTTCTATTTCCAAGTTGATTTTTAAAACCTTCATTGTGAAAACCGCTAACAGAATAGGACTTAGGAGGGCTACGTGTTTCCAGAATGTGAATCGTCATGGAGAGAACTACGCTAAAGTAGTTAGCATGGTGGTATGCTATGATCCTAAATTCTAAAGTGATTGGCTTGATGTGTTAAGGCTTTTCATATATTTGGTCAAATACGTAACAATCTTTGATTTCCGACATGTGATGGCTGGGGCCATTGATGTTGATGCCTCTATACGCCCTTTAGGGTCCATTTGGAGAATAACCTTAGAATGGATGAAGTACTAAGCCATCATTAAGATAAAAGATCTTTGATATGGCCAAAATGCATCCCCAAAGCTTCAATAGACAACAACAGTTGTTATAACAGAAGACGAAGAATAAGGGGCACAGAATTATATGCCTCCTGCTGCTTTTAATCAGTGTAAAAACTATGTTGGAGGCTGAAGGTGTCTCCAGGTCAAGCGGTCAGACCGTAACATTTTAATTGGACAACTGAGCACAAGTTATAGACTCTGGAAGTTGATATATACATCTTATGTTATCTGTGACCTGGTGATCAAGTCTAATAGATCAACGGTGTACTGTCTAAACAGAATGGGTTTTAACCAAGTCAACGATTTTTGGTCAAATAGAGGTTTTAGGAAAATTGAACTCGAAATTATTATAGGTAAGGTTCAAAGTATCGACATGTATCGGCCTGTATTGATCAATACATATTATTCCGGAACCCTTTCGATACGCCCCTACAGTGGGTGTATCAGAGGCTGACCGGTTCAGGGGGTAGAGGAGACCTAAACCGGCTCCCCTGAACCAGTTGTGAAAGAAAAATAAAAAAAGGGACCAAAATGTGTATCGATTCACCCGATACGTCCTTATCGACGTTTCAGACGTATCAATATTTTGAACCTTGATTACAGGTGACAATTTGATCGTTTGGGATGAAACCTTGCTTTTTCCCCCATTCTTTACATGGCACTTCCAATTTCCAAAAAGGCTCTAAATGGAAAAAGAACCTTTAAGTTACCTCACTAACATCAATTTCTTCTTCCTATATAAATAGGTTTATTATAATCGGGCCCATTGAATCGGACTTGATTGTCTTGAGAATCGATTGATTTGGTTATAGGTCTAAAACTAGGGTCTGATTCCACCCCAATTCCTTATTTCTTGTTGGGTTGATTCCCATTCTACCTAGGCCTGACCTGTTGACAGCCCTACAAAAACTGTCCCATCATGTTTCCAACATGTATGAGATGTGCAGAGACGGATCATGTCTTGGGATAGATTATGTTGGGGCTTGGGAGCAGATCCCAACTCAACAGTAAGTGCTATGGTAGTTGGTCCTAATTATTCATCGATCGGCACAAATGATAGACCTAGAACCCTCTGATTATTAATTGGGATAATGGGGTCTGAGACTCTGAACTAATAGAGTCAATTATACTGGTAACAAAGAAACATAATAATTTATTATTAAAACCCATGTAACAAAGACAGTAATTGAAGTATGGTGTCTATTGGTGAACTAGATGGCCTATTTGACCAAGTCAACGGGCTATGAATAAGATATTTTGTTTTTTTTTTTTTTTTTTTTTTTTTTTTTTTTTTTTATTTTAGCTATTTCCATAATTAATTACAATATTTCTCATTTTTGGAAGTATTTTTGTTTAATATGATAAATATATAATACTAAAAACATGTTTATTTTTTTGTAAATTTTATAATATTTTCTATATTTTTATTTTAATTTATGACATCACAAGTTCACTTGTTTGTCACGAGGGAAATGTGGTTTTGTTTGATTTTTAGAATATTATTTTTTAATAGTGTTTTTTCATCTCATAGTAAAATCAACTGGTCAACTATCAAGTGTTTTTTCATACTTTAATAGTGTTTTTTCAGATCCATTTATCATCAAATTATTTGTTTTCAAGAAACCATTAGCTTGATTAACAATGTGGTGACCTAACTATTCGAGTCATTGAACGATTTCACCAAGTTAGTGGGGTCACAAGTTAATCATTAATTCTTTTTTTCCCTTTATTTTTTGTATTTCATTTTCATCATCAATAAAAGCATTTTATTCATTACCTTTATACTCTTAATATGATGAATATATAAAAACAATTTTTTATTTCAAATTTTTACAATTTACTATATTTTTATTATTTAATTATGACATCATAGTATACCCATTTGATTTAGATGATTGGAACAAGTGTCCCACTGCTTGCATGGATAGAAAAACTGGTTTACTCTTGGGTCAATTTTATTGTATTCCATTTTTATTATTAGTGAAAACAAATCTTATTTTTGTGTTTCTATCCTTTTAAATATTTATTATTTAATCACGACATCATGATTGATGTATTTGATCCAAAAGGTTGGACCATTGACTCACCATCTAGATATAAAAATAATTTCCTTTTTAGGTTTTTAAAATTTTGTAATTCATTTATATCATTAATAAAATAATTAATACAGGGTTTGTGGATTGTTTTAAAAATACAGGGTTTTATACCATTGAAATTATTGTTTATGGATTTAATTAGCGGAATTTAATGCGGAATTTAATGATGGGAAACAAAGATAACTTAAACATAGGATTTAATGAAAGAGAAAAAAAAGTCAATACCATAAATATAGGTTTAATATGAAGGAATAAAATGAATTTAATAATTGTATTCAAATTAAAGTTTCTACCCTCAAAATAGAGGTGGAGTAAATTCAAAACAAAAAGCAGTTTGGTTGAGGAAAAAAATCCACAAACAATGGAGAGCTATACCCACATTTTATAGTATATGTATATTAAACGTGACAATTTTTTTTTTTTTTTATGATGATGATTGTAAATAATATGTTTCGAAAATTTTCTACAGCTTTTTTAATGAGATGAATATACAGTATTGGAGATGTGATCAAATGTTTTCTACAAACTTTTTTTTTGTATCTTTTATGTGTTTGTCTTTTTTTTTTTAACTTTTATTATTATTTAACTATGGCATTAAGGGTTAACACATTTGACTCAAAAGGTTGAATTGTTGACTTGTCACCAAAAGAAAAAACAACTTCATTTTTGGGTTGGCTTTAAATTTATATTTTATTTCTATCATCAACAAAACAATTATTCTATTTTAATATTGATTAATTAATATACAATTCAATAGAAGAACAAGTGTTAATACCCTAACTAGAAGACCAATGAGAGAGAATTGAATGAAGAGAAATGTCGGTCAAGGGTAGGATCTTGTGCTCTGACTGCTTTCACAATTAGAGATAAACCAAATTCAAATAAGGGTATTCTACTCAAGGGTAGGATTCAATAAATGCTAATGGGGATTAATACCTTAAATATAAGATTTAATGAGAGGGATTTGAATGAAAAAAGTGATCGTTCATATTATATTTGTCCTAACAATTAGAGGACCAAATTCAAAAATTGGGTATTTTAGTTAAACAAAAATTCCACTCTCATTTACATTTTTAATAGTAGCATAGATAAATAATTTTTTTTTTTACAATTAACCTAAATAAAAATGACAGTAAATTAGTAAATTATTTATATGTTAATAAATAAAGTATTTTTAAATAAAACTATTTTATATATAATATATTATCTATAAGATATACCCTTGTAGACAGAATAAAAATTACAAGAACACTAGAAAACCTTTATATATTATTGACAAACTAATCATTTCAGAACATGCAAAATCCAGAACTGACCCAATTATTAACCAGGACAAAATCACAGAACCAGAACCGATGTAACTGGTTTGGTTCTGTTCGGTCAGCCAGGTAGAACTGACCCATTGACAGCCTAAAAGCATGCACATCTGATTTATGTGGAAATTTCATAGAAAAGACCATGTAAAACACAATCTAAGTTCGCACTCTTTCATGTAGTTATACGGGTCAAACTACACCAAGAGGCAGGATTTTTTACACGAAAATTTCAAAAGCAATTTAAGACGAAGACAATTTGAAAAGCTTGCAAATAAATGATACAACACAAAATCGTACACTGACAACAAATAAACCATATTTTCTACAACAATGAACAAGAAGCATTGATCCTGCCTCAACTGATGCCAGATTGTAATGGTCCAAGGCTTCTAATTGCTCCTTAATCTGATCTGTCAACGACAAATTAAATCAATCCCCAACTTCTCATTAGTCCTTGTCAACATTCAGCAGATTCAAAAAACATGAAAAAAATGCTTGTGTTAGATACAGGGTTGACTTGAGAGGTATTGACTTGAAAATTTTTAACAAATCTCATGTTACAGGCACTTCCATTGAATAGGTTCCATAAAAGAGCTCACCATTTTCAGAAATCAGCATAAACAGATGATAGGATCCATTTAGCAGACAGGAAATAATCTAAGTTTTTTTCCCAGCATAGACAATATCCTAAGTCGGATCCTTTTATTGTGAGCAGAGACCTTCTGTACTATGAGACATTTATCAACAATGGTGGATGATACCTCTACATCAACCCTGTTATGATCCATCTTATTCCATCATTTACATAAGCATTAGAATATTTGCCCACAACCTATTATTGCAATTTGCAGCTACTCACATCTACATGGATTTGAAAGAAACTCAATCATCATAAGAGCTCAGAGCAGCAATGACAGATCCTGTTGTACTGAAAGTTGATGCCACATCTGGATAATCTTTCCAAGATGTTGTAATTTTGAGGCGTGGATACAACCAAGATTTGATGGAATCCACAAAGGAGTTGGGGTCAGAAGTTAGAATAGCTTCCCAATCCACCTGCACACCTTGTGGGATATTTTCTGTGACCTCCATATTGGCTGCAAGAAACAATCCAAGCAAAACTACATACCCAACAGCAGCAGAGCCTCTTGACAGTGGCATGAAATTGTACCTGTAAAGTCATTCAATTTCACACAATCAGCTCACCAATTCTCTAGGAAACAAAATATTTGCACATGTTGAAATTACCATCATTTACCAGTAATATGTCATCTTTAGTATACTATCTCTGATGTTCTCGAGCATATTGAAATCAGTAGATCCATATAATTCCCCGCAATAAGCATTGCACAAAGCCTGAAAGTGTAGATTTAAAAGCAGTCACACAAGTAGATGTTTTTATTTACATATCATGCCTAGTTCAGAGCTCCTGAATTTCATTTGATTCATAAAGGTATACTTTCTAATGGTCATCAGTTAAGAGATGGCATACTTCACAACTGGAAAAATAAGTGTTGTGGAATTTGAATCTTTATGATTTCAAAAATAGAATCCACAATAAGCATAGGATTGGGAGATGACAGAGCTGCCAGGCCTTAGAATTTGTATGTTTGTAGTTACATACTGGAAAATAGCTATGAAATTGTCATATCTTCATGTGATCTTGACAAATCATATTATGGTTCATGAAATCTAATATTTACAAATTTATATGTTTGATTGAACATACCCCAAGAAACATCCGGATTTTTTTTTTAGTTTACCATCCAGTGTATTGTCTTGCTCTCTTAACTTTGGAATTGTTTATTGGAAAGGTTGATGAAAGAAAGCAAGATCTTCATTCTTGATCTTAATGTTGCTAAAATCTTGATAGACTCCAGCAAATAAAAGCAAGAAGTAATGAATATTCACGAGAAACATTCTTACCAAAAGAGAAAGTAAGCAAGAACTCAATTTCATTCAAAACAAATTATCTGCTTTGGTTTATCTGTATTTCATTTATAGGCTCTAAGACCTTAACTTACTCTTATAGAATAACTCTTGTGTTAGAGGGACTTAAATATAAAGAGGTGAAATTAAAAATAAAACTTATTGTTCTCTATGCTGTTAAAGTAGGGGCTATATTAGGTGTGCATTGAAGAAGGGGTAGCCAGTGGGTGTGCTTTTCTTGGTGTCTTTTGCTTGGTTGGGTGGTTTTTACTATCTAGGATCTTGGGTATTGGTGTAGCTTACTTTGCCTCTTTGTTTATACCACTTACATAGATTTTTATCTGTTTCCTTAGGCTTAGTTCGTGAAAAGTGTAAATACAAATGTGTACAGTGAAAATACAGGGTTTAGAAATACCATACATAAGGTTTTGCACTGTATATATTTGTATTTGCACTCTTCCTAAACTGAACCTTAGTGGATTCATGTCACTGCTCCAAAGCAAAATGAATAAATAAAATGAAACTTAAAAAAAATGGGAGAGGCACGTGTTATTGTTGATGGTATTGATACTGTGAATTGAACTGCTAGACTTCAGAAATCTAGGAGTTCTTGACATGGGGTTTTTTGAAGAAATCAGATGCTTGAGATTAGAGGGGAGGAAAAAAAGTTGTGGCAACTTGCTTCAGTGATTGACAACTATTTTCTGTGTCCAAGTAAATATGAAATGGATACAGGCTTTTTGAATTGTGATAATGACATCAATCAGTGCTTCAGTATGGTGAAAAGGCATTAGAAAATCAAATCCATTTTTTCTTAATACTTGAAGAAGCTATTAATTGACTTGGAATGACAGGAAAAGAACTTCACATTTTATGAAAGTTCCATCAACTACATTCTATTGATAAGATGTCCTGAAAGATAACAAAGCATATTCTGTACTGCACATTTGTTTTGGATGTAGTCTTTCCTATTTGTGGTACACTGACATATTGTCTGAATAAGCAGGTCCAATCATATTTATGTGACAATATCTTCTAATTACACCAGTCTGATAAATATAAGATGACAACTGTGACAGTGGTGAAAATAACCTCGTAGTCACTATAAACCAAAACACTAGTTATGCAAAGGTATATATGCCAGAGAAGATGAAGAGGAAGAATAGTTATCAGCTTAAGTTCAAATATGACATACTTCCCATGCCATTCCCATTTCTGCATCATAATCCTCCCATCTAGAAGGTGTACAGGGTGTTCTAATTGCAAAGTCAAATCCACATTCAGGCCTGCATGGAAATTCTCCAATCATGATGTTTTTCATAGGGAAAATGGGAAAAAAGGTTGCAATTTATATAACATCAAGCTTTTTACAATACATCTTCTGTAGAGTGATCCTTGTCCCCTCAAGGCGCTTCCTGAAATGCACAGAGACAATTAGAAATTCAGATGATGCTAGTGCAACTTTTTCTTTTCCTTTTTTTCTCTATCATATCTCGGTACCCGTATAAGGTTGCTCTATGGTGTCAGATACTTCAATTTTTAGCAGAAAATTTGTATCTGACACCATGTCCAGCCGTGCCCTTGCAACTGAAAGTGAATGGAAAGTTGAGATTAATGGACATAATTACCCTTCAAAAGCTGTGCTCTTGCACCAAGTTGCTAACCAGAAGTCTTCCCCAACAACATTGTAAAGATCACAACATGTTTCTGCATTCATTACCTGAAAATGGTGAAATAAAATTAGGTACTAAACGGATAAAATTTCTGAACCTAAATAAATACCAGACAGAAACCCCTAGCAGTGCAAAGATATGCTTATGGAAAATAGAAGTCGGTGAATGAATGAATCAATGGGGAAAATGAATTAAACTTGAAAACATGAAAATATTTGTCACATATAATCAACACAAAAATTCCAATACGCACATAAGGCACTTTTAATTTTCAACCTTACAGGCATCATTAGGTTTTATCTATGATGTTTTCAACCTTTCTTCATGACTTCATAGAAAAACAGGGGAATTCCAAAGGCAATAAAAGTTTCAAATCTTGGTTTTGAGATCTGAACTACTAAGAGCAAAAGTTGGAAGAGATCACCAAATACGCAAAAAAGCTAAGATCTTGAAAAGCAGCAATTGTCGTAAGAGAAGTGGTTATACAATTTTTTTGGGGTGGGTGGTCCAAGAGTTCAATTTTACTAATAATGGGTAATGTTGGAGCCTTGGAGGCTCTATTTCTGCGGTAAATTCCTTATGTTCAAGATTCAACAAAACTGATTCTGACCTGTTAATGATCAAAAAGAAGCTAGTAAGCTACCCAAAACACCAACCCACCCTAATTTAGTCTCTTGCAATATTAGCAACTCTACCCTTTTGATAAGAAGATACAAAAGAAGGGGGATTCTTGATAAGAAGATACAAAAGAAGTCTGGGCTCATGGGTCCCCTAAAACATGAGATATAACAAAAGAAGCAAGGAAGTAGAAAAAATAGCAACTATCCTCAAAAATCAGGTCCCTAATACAAAGAGATCCTGGAAACTCCTCTAGAAAGTCTCTCTCAACTATACTCTCTTGACTAATGAAGAATTAGTCCGACTTCCAAAAGCAGTGGCAAAGTATTCGTTTTAATTGAAATCAACCACCTAATTCAGGCCATAATAAACCATGATTATCATTACCTTGGGGTCTGTAAAGTGCCCCCTATATCTGAGGGATCTGGGCACTATTGGAGTTAAACTTGATGGTTCTATGTGGTGCAGGAACCCACTCCTGTATGGTGCAATGTCTAATGATGATGATCTCACAATTGTGCAACATCCACTGATCACACTATCTACTTTGAAGTCTCCGAACTCAACCCTTATCAATATCCACTATATTACTCAGATAATAATCAAATCAAAAGTCTTCTCCTCTGTGGATCTCGAACTATCCTCAATGCTCCAAAAATGAGCTTCATGTGTATACCTCAAAATGATTTTACACCTCTTCACGGTAGATAGTGTGAATAAATACATTGATAGGAAAACCTGGAATGCATAGTTATGGTGAATAGACAGGTAACTTTTCAACTTTTCACTCGAATAAAAGGTGATGGGTCAACTCTCCATTTTCCTTACAGAAGTCCTTTATGGCCCAAAGAAACCAATAGTTGAAACCCTTGAAGATAGATAGAAACTCTGCATTTTCTGAGTCTCCTGATCCAATGGGTCCAGAAGACGTGAGGATGATCACTCCATTATCATTTCTGAAGAGTACTCCAACACCTGAAGGTCTAAGGTTATCTTTTTATTCTTTCCCTCTTGTTTATTTTTGCTTTTCCTGGCAATATAAAGTTGGATACAATTCTACCAGAAGTTTATTTTTGAGGGGTGCCATTTGATCAACTACCACAGTTCATTTGTTATGGAATGGATGCAGTTTCTCTAATGTTTTTTTTTTCCTTTTTCTTTTCATAAAAAGATCAAGTAAATAAAAAATTACAAGGTTGCTATAGTGTTTACTAGAATATATAGATACTAATGGCCCATGTTTTTTTAATGAATAATTAGAGATTTATTAAAAACTTTATGTAAAGACTTTACAATCATCCCTTAGAGAGGCACAAGCTGCTACCTCTCATACAAGTATTGCAATTGTACCCCGAATAGACTAGACCTGTTCACCCCTTGTTTAGCAAAGGCATCTGACATCCCATTTACTGATCTTTTCACCCATTGTATCTTTAAATTCATATTCCTGGTTAGATAAATAATTTTTTTCATTTCACTCCTGTAGCACCACATTATAGACTCCAGATTCCTTAGCCATTCTACCACCACTTTCGAGTCCCCTTCTATCACCACATTTGTCTACGTTTAGCTCACTATCTGCACCCCTTGAATTGCAGCAAGCAATTCAGCTTTGAGAGAGTCCCCCATACCCACAGGGCCAGAAAACATTGCTATAATTTTACCTTCTCCATCTCTCACCACCCCTCCAATTCCACATGGGCCTGGATTACCTCGGCTACTCCCATCAAAATTCAGTTTAACAAAACCTTCAGATGGTGGTGTCCAGACCACCTCCACTCTGTCCTTTCTCTTAGAACTTTTAGCAACTATCTCCCAATTCCTCCAAATATCACCAAAGGAGAACTGGGAGAACAACTCCAGAGTCTTGATCCAGTGGATCACCCTAACCATCACACAAATCCTGATTTCTTCCTTGCTTCTCTCCTTCTCTGAGAAGATTCTTGCATTTCTCTCTTCCTAAATGGTCCAAATCAAGGCTGCTCTGACACATCTCCACATTATCCTCCCTCTCTTCTTAGGCCAAGTAAAACAGGAGGGATCAAATAGCATAGTAACCTCCGTAGGTAACGTCCACCTGCATCCAAACAAAGAAGAAAACCAAAGCCAAAATTTTGCAACAAAGGGGCAGGAAATCAGTAAATGACAACAACTCTCATTACTGGATTTGCATAAGACACACCAGTTTGGAGAGAGGCATGAATTAGGTCTTCTCTTTTGAAGCAAGTCCATAGTATTTATCTTCCCGTGAACTACTTCCTAGCAGAAAGCAAACACTTATCAGGTTTACTGGGTTCCAAGCAAACACTTTGAAGGAGTTGTAGCATGTCCGAACAAGCCAAAATTTCGTTATCCCTAAGACCTCTACGGAATCTAAATTCTCAATTGAGCTCCACAGGATTTTAAGGGGAAACAACAAACTCATTTTTGTACAAAGAAACCAAGTAAAAAGCGGGGAAATTTTCCATTAACGGACAAGAACCAACCCAAGTATCCTCCCAAAATTTAATAGAAATCCCAGAGCATACCTGACGAAGTGGAGAAAGTGAGGTAGGATGTTGTGAATAGCTTTCCAAGGCGAGGCCAGAGTAGCTCCATTAGATACACCTGCATCCCAACCATTTCCCAACCTTCCATGTATGCTAGCTATTACTTCATGCCACAATCTGTCCCTTTCCACCGACCACCTCCAAAACCATTTCCCTAACAGAACCTTATTCTTTTTATCCATGCTATCAATACCCAATCCTCCTTGTTGAAGATTTCTACACAATCTCCCATTTAACCAAATGATCCTTCCTTCCATCGCCTGGCTCCCACAAGAAGTCTCTCATAATCTTCTCAATTCTCTTGGCTTCTTTTTGAGGAATTCTCAACACTGATAGGGAATAAATTGGTAGGTTAGCAAGTGTGGATTTGATCAGAGTAATCCTTCCTCCCAACGATACATAATTCCTCTTCCAAGGTGCTAGTTTCTTTGCGCATCTCTCCACTATGGGGTTCCAGAACCTGCTTTCCTTAGGATTTGCACCTAGAGGAAGTCCTAGGTAGGTCAACATCCAACTAGCGATGGAACACTCCAAGATATTTGCAGCACAATTTAGTTCCTCTTCCTCCAAGTTGATTCCTGCTACGTGACTCTTATCCAGATTGACTTTCATATCAGAGATGAGCTCAAAATTCTCAAACAACTCCTTCGAATTCCTTACCAAATTTTGCTCTCCACCCTCACAGAAGATTAGATACTAATGGCCCATGTTGGCTTCATCAAGCCACTGAAAGCACACAGGTAAGATGAAAAAGAGTCTTGATTGAGAATTGAACTACACGGATATCAGAATAGTATTCCTATCAGGTGGAGGCAAGTAGAAATGAAGAAAGAATAAAACTAATACGTCAACAGCATTGATGAAACAACAATGTATAGCACATAATATAGACAATCAAATTAAAAATAAAAACTCACATTTTGCAACTTCCCATCTTCTGACAGATCAATAATGTTATCTGTCTTGTTATTTACATTCTTCATCTCCTCTATGCAAGTTTTTAAAACAGTTAGTGTCCTGCAACGTTAATAAATAATAAGCAGTCTTTCAAACAATTCGGCTCCAGACTAAATTGAGAACAGATTGTACCTTTGATAATTTGGAAAGTAGCGCACAACTTTTGCTTGTCCAAGAACCATTGGAGTATGAGACCCAAATCCAGAATTAAACTCTTCACTGGGTTGCAGATAAAAAAAAACATATCCAACATCATTTTCACAAACATGCATACCATGAAGGTGATACAAGCAAGTTAAGGATTTTAACTTCAGGGAAAAAAATAACAACTGAGAAATGAGAAGAGAATATTGATGTGTTAAATAATAAAAAATTGACAACCAAAAATTCTAAGTCAAAAGATAGATCTAACCTTTCTAAATATAAACTAACAGAGCATGTTAAGTTCCCTACTGCTGTAGTATCTGCAGTTCCTTCCAATTAAACAAAATTTCTTACCAATAAAGAAGGGGTAGGCTACAGTCTTGAATTAAAAAGGACTAGAAGGTAACTAATCTTGCATTAAAAATGACTAGAAGGTAGCTAATCTTTCCACAAAGGCTAGATAATCTTGCATTAAAAATGACTAGAAGGTAGGCTACAGTCTTGAATTTCCGATTGATGAATACTAAGGGCTACAAAGAGCAACTCTTTTAGAAAATAATCAATACCCATAGAAAACCATAATTTTGCTATAAACAATATGTAATTCAAACATTTTGGGCTCACTTATCAAATAACATCATAAATTATGGATCAAAGAGAAAAGACTTTGGATTTGGTATATATCATAAATAAACTAAAAATGCCAGAAATATCATGCATTACTAATAAAATAAACTAAATGACTTTGATATTATATATCATTAAAAAGTTAAAAATAACTAGAGACATGAACCTACAACTCTTCAGTAAATATAAAATACTTCAACCAACTTTGCTAATAAATGTGTACATGAAGTAATATTATCAGACTGGATTGGGATCTATCCATATTAGATCCAATTACAAATAGATCTGAAAATTAGGATTCATATTCAGTTCAGTTGTTTTGGGTTTCAAATCTGAACTTGGACAATCTGGTTCTGTTGGTAGCACTTATTACAAATACCATTGCCCAAAGCACAAAACATTGACATAATAATTCAAACATCATGGTATCAAATACACAATGTTGGGTATGGAAGGAATCATAAAAGTCTACAATGAGTACACTCACTAACAGAATTCAAGGTAGGGTTGCCTCAGCCCCTACTCAGCCTACCCCTCCCAAGACCCCTGATAGCTGGGGCCAACATAGAGTAATAGCCTTTGCAACCTTTATGGCCTTTTTCTATTGTCAAAGTTATCTGTATCATGTGGAATGTGGTTTTTCATGGACCACATTAGGGAGATCTGATGATTGTTTTGCGAAAAACTTGACAATGTAATGTTGTCATTATGCTAGATCAAAGGGGAAGTTCTCAATTAGATTCTCATTCAGTTTAATCAAGCTACACCTTAGAGAGGCATTTCCTGCCTTGAGTTCAGTTGTTCAAGTTTTTATTTTTTTGTCTATAAGATGCCATTGTCATGGTTTAAATGTTCACATATTTCCTAATATTTCTAGGACATATTTCCATTTCCATTGGTGCCAAGTTGCCAACACAAAGTATTACTGGAATCAACATATTCCCCAGAGTAAAATTACTGGCACCATGTGGAGTACACATGATGGCATTATTACATAAGTTAGCAACAATGTTGTAGATATATGGAGTAGAAGCATCATTACCTGCCTAATAGGCATGATTGCCACATTGAGCTAGCTCAAAATTCTTTTTATATATGAAGTTAAATCTTAGTTTTTGGTGTAACAGATTATTTTGTTGATCTATTAGAATCATTTACACTTTCTGTGCTTTATCGCTGGTTTGGAACAGTGTTTCCACCTGATCTATAATTTTTATAAAATTTCCATATGACATTTCTGACATATCTGGCATGTTTCCTATATTTGGATAGCCAGCATTTCCACCAACACCAACATTTTGAACCTTGCTCATTGTTGATCATCTAAATAATAGGGGCTTGGAGCTACATATAGATGCATTACAAGAAAGTCAATGGAAGTTTTTTTTTTTTTTTGGTGTTTCCCTGAGTACCATTTTTCTGTTGGAAATCTTTTATTCTCTTTTCCAGAGCTCTTGGATTTTCCTTCCCTTGATTTAGGAAGTCATCCTCCCTTCTCCCAAGATTTCAAAGGATGGTAGTGGCTCTGTTCTCTGGTCCATGGTTTCATTTGCTATTTGTTGGGAGGTTTGGGACGAATAGAAAGAGATTTTTTATAATGGTCCAGAGAGGCCTTTGTTGCAGTTAGCTGAAGATGCAAATAGTCCTTTCATATGAATTGAGCTTTAGTGCTTAATGGCTTCAAGGACATAAATTAGAGAGACTCAATATTTACTTAAACACCATTTTGGGTGTGGAGGGTGGGATATTTTAAAGTTACTTAACTCTAGGCCCTTTTTGTATGTCTATTATTGATTAATTAAGGTAACAGCTAGCTTTCTGGTAAAGTCTCTAATTGGTTGTAGCAGAGACCTGGGATTGAGTCCCACCCTCACCATGGTTGGGGGGGTTAGGGGTTTGGTAGAGGGCTACCGCTGTTGTGCATCCCATTTGCCTACCCAAAAAGAAAAAGTCATTATATATTAACCAAAGGTGTGGACTTGGATTTGGATTTGAATTCCAGTGCCACCTCAATTCTGTGGAACTGGAACAACTACTCTCTTGATGTCATTCCAATTTCTGCTATAAAGCTGCACTGTTCTAATTCTGTTCCAAGAGAAAAGGATCTGACTATGGAGCATGGATTCACAAAATTGATGATTTCAATTATGCTGCCAAATTTGACATAATAAAGTAGAAGAAAATGAAAGAAAGTGATTTTACCTGAGTCTGTTTACCCACACAACTGGGTCACAAGGTTCAGAAATCTGTCTCCACCTAACAGCCAATGAATATACATCTTGCCAAGGGATTAGGGAACGGCCTGAAGATCTATCCTCAGTAACACCATATGAAGTTGATGTTTCTGAGGAACTGCTGGTACTACAAGCACCACCTCTATTCTGGCAAGTCAAATTGATTTTTTCCTTTCTCCTGACTTTCTTACCATTTTTTGCTAGGCTTTTACTTGAATTCTTCCATTCTGCTCGCCAAGCTTTTGAGACCTTTTGTGCAATCTCAATAGCAGCTAATCCTGCCATACGGTGCTGGATAACATGTTTACACAATAAGTTGCAAGGTTTATTTTTGCCAATCAATTAGGGAAAAGAAGGCATGTATTTGTATTAAATACATAAAAATACAAGATTAACAATCATGGGCAGACTTAACTACTAATAAGAAAACTAGTTAAATACCTGCTGACACAACTAATGGTGTAAGAATGCCTCGAATTATGAAGGCAAGATAACGGCTCTGTATTCGGGTCCAGTAGGAGTTGGAGATTCCTTAAGAGCGGAATCTTGGCACTACATCAAGGTGTAAAACTGGCCAAACAATTGGGGCTACAGCAGATTGAGGTAGAGGGAGAGTTCAAATTGGTAATTGGGTGGATGCAATCAGTGCAACTGGGAATTTGGCAATATAGACAGCTGATAAGGGAAATTCTTAGCATAACAAGGGAGGTGGGTGTTTGGTTCAAGTGGGTAAGGACTGTAAGGGAGAGGAAATCATCAAGCAACTTCTTCAAGACAAAGAACTCCAATGCCTAGAGTCCATTTGATTAATTCCACAGGTGGGGAAGGAAAAAGGTTTACAAGGGGAAGTCGAATGGAATGGTGGAGATTCTGAGGTTGGGGGATGAAAAATAAACAAAACGTCGACTAGAGTGAAATCTCTGGAAATCATAGCTCAACTGAACAATGGGGTAGGTTTGGACTTTGGCTCTTCCACTTCTCCTCTTCTTTTACTTCTTCGGGTTTAGAAACTCCTGCAAGAGAAGGAGAAAAAAAGGGAGTTGGTTTTGAAGCTACAGATGAAAGGAGAAACAATGTGAGAAGAAAAAAATCAGGGGAAGGCCAACGCAAGGTCTATAACAGGAAAAGGATAGTGAGGCAAGGAAGTTCAGGGGTTGGAATTAAAGGTTCAAAAACAAAGGACCAAAAGGAGTGTGGAGAGGTTACAAGCGAGGGAGAAGAGAAGAGAGTGGGGATCAAAATTGAAAAGGTTAATGGGGAAGACAATACTGAGAAAGGAAGGGTGAGTATTGACCAGATGATTGATAGATAGATGGAGATTGGGAAAGCTCTTGGCCTATTTTTCCTAAGAGGAGAAGGGGTAGTGAGGAAGGCAATAGAACATTTCGAGAGAAGCAAAAGGGAAGAACATRATAAAAAGAAAAATATTGGGGAAGGGAGAGAAGCATGGGAGAAGGAAGAAAGGGGGAAGAAGGAATAGTTGATGAAGAGTAGAGAGAGATTGCATGAAGGATAGAGGTGGTAGTTGGGGGCTGTCTTTAAAGTTGAAGTCAATATCTTGGTATGGTAGGGGCTTGAGAGAGGAAATAAGTCGCACCGTAGAATCAAGAAAGCAGGGCTGGTTTGGAGCTGCATTCCATCTGCAAGATATTGGAATTTTTGGAAGGAAAGAAGTAGAAGAATTATCGGAGCCAAAGCTGTGATTTTGGTGTGGTCAATGGAAGCTGTCAGCAAACCTCTTGTTGCCCGGGCTCTAGTTCCAGATTATTGCAATCTATCCAAAGAAGTCTTGCTGCCCCTGCATTTATAGGTTCACAAACCTTTTTCCAGCTTACCAAATGGAAGTTGAAATCATCTTTCCAGCTTCCATCTTTTCCAGAGAAGTACCTGATTTTCTTTTCAAGTGTTTCTTATGCAGGGCTAGTGGTGTCTCTATATGCTACTTATTTAGAAATTATTCTCTAAAAACCTTTGTACCACTTACTTGCAATGGCCAGCATTGGCTTACACTTCTAGACTATTTTACATATCTTTGTTCTCACCCCAACCAAGAAGAGAAAGATCGTGTAAAGGTGTTTAAGTGCAGTTTGTTCTATGGTATGTCTGGGAGTAGACTCTGAAAATAGTGGCTGATCATGTAGGGGAAGTCTATTCTAATAAGGTATAAACTTTAAACAAATTGGTCAATTTCATCACTAATAGGTTTTCTTACTAGATCCAATCAGGGCCAACTTAGTTGAAGATGCAGTAGAAGGGATATCATGTTGCTAATTGTTTACCAGCAGAAATATATTTCCAAGAAGTTGGTCTCCCTCATCAAATTTATGACAGTTGTAAGGCCAGCTATGTTGTATGGAGCAGAGTGTTGGGCAGTCAAGAAACAACATGTCCAGAAAATGAACGTGGTAAAAATGGAAATTCTAAGATGGATGAATGGAAAAACTAGAAAGGATAGGATTAGGAATGAAGTTATCCATAGGGACCTAGGAATAGCTCCAATAGGTGATAAAATGAGACAGTAGACTATGATGGTTTGGGCATGTGCATAGAAGACCATCAACTGTGTCAGTTAGAAGTGATTTTGTTACACATCGAAGGGGCTAGAAGAGTTCGGAGTAGACCAAAAAAGGACATGGGTAGTAGTAAGGAATGATTTAAGCACTAATAATTTCACAGTGGATATGGCTTTAAATAGAACGGATTGATGAAACAGGATTCATGTAGCCGACCCCATATAGTTAGCATAAGGCATGGATAATGATGATGATGGCCTCCCTTGTCACAATGCGTAGATTAAGATTTTACAGCCAAAATTTGATAAGCATCATCAGGCACTACTGACAGTGTCTACCATCAACAATATGTAGGCCAGCCAACAGTGTCTATCAAGGTTCAGCAACATGCAGAAGTGCTCCTACAATTGATTATGTGTGAATATATTCTAGTTTCATTTGGTCCACTGCAGAAATTCCTTATCCAGTAAATGTGTATACTCTCTTTCTCAAAAAGGAAAATTATACAAGAATGACAGTAAACCATCTATGCTTCTCTGTAGTTGTAGTAACTTTGAAGAAATATACTCCACAAACAAAGAACATTTTTGTTTGGTGCTAGGTTGAAAAGGATTAGGGTTCCTTCATTCGTCTTTGAAATTTTACCTATTTTAACTAAATGGACAAAATTAATACTAATTCTAGATGAAGATGATGTAGATCCATTTTATTTTTAGATTGAGAATATCCAAACAGTAAGTTCAATGTATATCATATTTGTTCACATTTATTTTTTGGTGCAATACTTGATAATAATTGCTACAGATCCTCATCCAGCTACCACAAATTTATACAACATGAAATATGAACCAGAAACCAGAAAATTAAGGAAGTTTAATTGTTTTTATAGGTTAGATTTTCAGTTCAAAAGAAGACGTAAAATGCTTAAAATCCCACCAAAATAACAAATCATATTTCCACAATATTTGTTGAAATTAAATCACCTGACGCCTATTAGGTAAGAAGCCTGGACAATTATATTGGATCTTCTTGCCAATAGAATCTGCAGCTTGTAGGAGCATAGCCTTCTGTTTTGTAATAACATAATCTTGCTTCTTTAGGCTTCCCTTTCGCAGAGAATCACGAAGAGGAGGTTGTCTATAAACCCTTTCACACACATCCTTTGGATGCAATCTTTTGCACCAGTACTCCTGAAGAAAGTAGGTAATGAACACACAATCAAGTAATGAACATGCTTGAAACAAAATAGAAATAAAAAAAATTACATAAATAAATAATAAAAATACTGATAATAATAATTGGAGGGAGAAATTTCCCTTTTTATAAAATATGTGGTATAAATTAAATGAAAAGCATCAAACCAATATAAAGTATATCCAGCAATTATATTCTTCAACCAATTTTATTAATATTGATGCTCACAAGTTACCAAGAAGACTGATAGAAGGACCATAGTTAAGGCACTAAGGTGAGACAGAGCCAAAGTGCCAGCTTCAAACACCATTGCATGTTACCTAAGGCCTAAGCCTCAAATTTTGTGAGGCATACGCCTGATCCAAATAGCCTATTAAACTGGACAGTGACCAACACATCTGATAAAGTATCTGCTGATCTCCCCACCCACTGTACAGTGACCAACATATTCCTTGTCAACCAACTGAATTTCTTCATTTCATTCTTGTAGTGCCATATAGCCTCTTCAAGATTTTTCAACCAACCCATCGCCACTTTGGAATCCCCTTCGATTATTAGGTGCTGTACCCCCAGCTGGTTTGCAAATTGCACCCCTTGTACAGCAGCTAATAGCTCTGCCCTGATAGAGTCCCCAACTCCTAAGGGACCTGAGTAGAGCAACAGAATCTCTCCCTTCTCATTTCTCAAAGCACCCCCATTCCGGATAATCCTGGATTACCCATGCTACTTCCATCAAAGTTCAACTTCAGTGAGCCTTCAGATGGAGGAAACCAGCTTGTAATTGCTTTGTCCTTTAGGGATGAAYACCTCRCTAYTGCTGACCAATTTCTCCAAAGATCATTAAAAGAGAATTGATGAAAGATTTCCAAGGTCTTCAGCCAAGGTATTGCCCTATTCAGCACATAGTCTTTCAATTCCTGACTGTTTCTTTCCCTTTCTTGAAAAATTCTAGCATTCCTTTCTTCCCAAAGAGTCCAAATCAGGGCAGCGCGAGCACATCTCCACATAAGTCTCCCTCTTTTTGTAGGCCAAAAGAAAGTAGAATGGTTGAAGAGCATGCGAACTTCTGCTGGTAGACTCCAACTACTCCCAAACAACGAAAGTAGCCAAGCCCAAAGGTCTGCAAAAAAGGGACAAGATATTAGTAGGTGGTAACAATCCTCACTGTGAGCTCTATAGAGGATACACCAATTGGGAGAAATACAGAGGAAAGGTCTTATCTTTTGTAAGTTATCTAGATTGTTTACTTTCCCATGGAATACTTCCCAACAAAATGCCATAATCTTTGGGGGAACTGGCCTGCACCAAATTTCCTTTGGCGGAAAGGGTTGTTGAGTAGAATGTTGAGAGATGGACTTGAAGAAAGAAGCACAAGTAAAGGTTCAATTGGGTCTAGGAGTCCACACCATTTTATCTGGCTTTGAGGTACCCAAACAAACTTGATTAAGACAACAAAGCAAGACATGGAGAGATTCAATTTCATCATTCCTTAGTCCTCTATGAAACCCAAAATCCCAATCAAGAGCCAAGGGTGTTCCCAGTGATGAGACAAATTTTGAGACCACCTCTTTTTTATACAAAGAAACAGAAAATAGCAAAGGGAACAAGTCCTTTAAAGGGGTGTCTCCTACCCAGATATCCTCCCAAAAGTGAACAGCGTTGTCAGAACAAACTTCATACCTGATAAATTTGAAGAATTGAGAAAGGGTATTGTGAATGGCCTTCCAAGGTGCTGCTAGGTTAGCTTGCCTTGATACACCAGCATCCCATCCATTCTCTGATCTCCCATGAATGCTTCCCACCACGGCACCACCTCATGCCATAACCTCTCACTTTCCAATGGCCATCGCCACAATAGAGCTTGATTTTTTTTAGTCACCCTTCCAAGTCCCAAACCCCCCTCTTCTTTACTTCCATACACAATTTCCCAATTAACCAAATGATCCTTTTTTTCTTGTCCCGGCTCCCATAGGAAATCTCTCATCAATTTCTCCAGCTTCCTAGCTTCCCTAACTGGTATCCTAAAGATAGACAAAAAAATAGGTAGGTAAGTTAGCCAAGGTAGCTCTTATTAAGGTAATTCTCCCTCCCAAAGAGATATATTTCCTCTTCCATGAAGCTAATCTCTTTTCAAACTTTTCTAACATTGGGGTCCAAAATCTACTCTCCCTAGGATTGGCCCCTAATGGAAGCCCTAAGCATGACAAATTTGCCAATCTCTTTTTGACCACTCTCACTTACAAGCCATTTAGCACCATTAAAGAAGTTTTATATAGTAAAAAATATTCATATGAAGATATTTATAAATAGCTTATATTAAAAAATAAACCATATATCCAATTAGGTAAAGAAGAAATGTAATCTGTCCTTCAAATCTGATATAAAACTGATAAAAAATAAGAAAAGTGAGAGAGAAAAGAAGGCTACAGCAGAACGAAAGAGGAAGATGGAAAATAAGAAGAGAAAGGAGAAGAGAGTTCGATGGGTTTCCCTCTCCCTTCACTATTCTTTTATTAATCTTAATAAATTATGCTAACTACAAGTCTGCCCTTTAAGTGGGCGGCCAGCAAAGCAAGAACTTAAAAGAAATTAAAAAGAAATTAGCAGGCCCATTAACTCATATAACAGACAAAACACTATTTGAACATAAAACAAATATTAGGGCCCATTTGGCCCAATCTCTCTACACTCCCCCTCAAGCTGAGAATAGATGTCAATCATGCCCAGCTTGCTTATATAGTGTGCCAACTTTCCTTTCGGAACATCTTTAGTCAAAACATCGGCCAATTGCTCTTTTGAAGTAATAAATGGCAAATAAACTTCCCCTTAAGCAACTTTCTCCCTTATGAAATGTCTATCAACCTCTATGTGCTTAGTTCTATCATGCTGAACAGGATTATGTGTAATGTTGATACTTGTTAGGCATAGTTGTCAAGGCGGTGCCTAAGCGGGCACTATTAATTTTGTGTCTAAAATATTCATTTTGTGTGTTTATATACTAATTTCTTTTTATTATTTTCTTATTTGTTAGGGTTTAATCAATATAAACATTGCTAAATGCTGTATTGAACCCCCAAAGACTTTCAAACCTGAACCAATAAATAAGGAAGGAACTTAAAATTGTGTCTAATCAACACATTTTCTACTACTACTACTACTACTACACATTTTCTTTTCTTCTTTTCCCATAACAAAAATAAGGGTTCAGCCCCTATATTTTTTGAATTTTCTTTTCCTTCTTTTTCTTCTAATGAATATGTTGATTTTCTATACTTTAGCATGAACTCTATACTTTTCTTATGAAAATTATGAATAATTCTTAAAGAAATATGGTTATGGTACCTAGGGAACTACCCTAGGATCTATGTTTTCTACATAAAAAAATCCATCGCCTAGATGACTAAGCGACAAGGCGCCCCCTTGTTGCCTAGCCATGCCTTGGCGCCTTGAAAACTATGCTGCCTGGTTGTCACAATAGAGCATCATTGGCTTTTCATAGTCAATGCCCAACTCTCCCAAAAGTGATCTCAACCACAATAATTCTAACACTCCATGTGCCATTGCCCTGTACTCTACTTCAGCTGAGGATCTAGCAACTATAAACTGTTTCTTACTTCTCCATGAGACAATGTTCCCTACCACCAAAGCATAATATCCTGAAGTGGATCTCCTCTCAACAATACATCCGGCCCAATCAGCATCAGTGTATGCCTCTAGCTTCATGTGTCCATGCTTGTCAAATAGAATACCTTTCCCTGGAGTGCCTTTAAAGTAGAACAAAACTCTTTCTACAGCTGCTAAATGTGTATCTCTGGGAGAATGCATAAAATGACTAATAACACTTACTGCATAGGAAATATCTAGCCGACTCATGCAGAGATATAACAACTTCCTGAGCGGTCTCTGGAACACTCCCCTATCAGTCAACAATTCACCATCAGTATCAGAAAGCTTATTGTTTAGGTCTATAGGGGTGGAAGCCGGTTTAGCACCAAGTTTACCAATCTCTGCAAGGAGATCAAGAACATACTTGCGTTGAAAAATGAAGATACCATCCTTAGATCTAGCAACTTCAATTCCCAAGAAGTATCTGAGATCCCCCAAATCTTTTATCTCAAATTCAGTGTTAAGAAATCTTTTGAGCTTAATCACTTCCTGAGTGTCATTACCCGTAACCACAATGTCATCAACATAAATAATCAGAAAAGTCACCAAAGAGTTACTTCTCTTCACAAACAAAGTATGGTCCGGTCGAGTCTATGTATAACCAAAAGAAATAAGGGCAGCTTTGAATCTCTCAAACCATGCTCTAAGGGACTGTTTGAGACCATAAAGAGACTTCTTCAATTTACACACCTTCCCTTGCATTTCCTTTCCACACACGCTAGGAGGTAAAGTCATATAGACCTCTTCATGTAGGTCTCCATTCAAGAAGGCATTTTTGACATCAAACTAGTGAAGGGACCAATCAAAAGTAGTAGCTAGAGACAACAAAACTTGAACTAGTCATTTTAGCCACAGGAGAAAAAGTCTCAAGGTAATCAATACCATACATTTGAGTGTAATCCTTAGCAACCAATCGAGCGTTAAACCTCTCAATAGTGCCATCAAAATGATATTCGATACTGAATATCCATTTACAACCCATTGGTTCCTTCCCTTCAAGCAAATCCACAATATCCCAGGTATGGTTCTTATGCAAAGCATCTAGCTCAGTCATCATAGCATTCCTCCATTCAAGTTTGGATAAGGCTTCTGGTATAGACTTGTGAATCACATGGGTAGAAACAAAGGCAAGAAAAGAATAATAGGTAGAAGATAGAAGATTGTAGGGCAAATGTTTAGAGATACAATGTGATGTACACTTCCGCTTGCCTTTGCGAAGGGCAATAGGAAGGTCAAGGTCTGGGAAGGTAGTAGGTGGGTCAGAGGAAGGCTGACTTGTTACCTTAGTAGTGATGGGAGGTGCAAGAGGCTCTGATGAAGGAGTGGAAACAACTTGCCCATGCCTGGATCATTGTCTTTGGTACCACCCTTGGAGAACAAGATGTGAGGAAAATATAAGTGGATGACCTAGGGGAGGAGGGGGAGCAGGAACATGTGAGGTAGACACAGTGGAAGGAGAGGCAATAGAAGAAGATGACTCAAAAGGAACTAGAAGAGGAACAACTGGACACATAGCAAATAGTTCCATAGAATGCTCCCCCTTAGGAGGAATACCAAAGAAAGGAATATACTCAACAAAAGTGACATCCTTAGTAACTGGACTTGCTGCCTACTCTCTTCACTACTTACCATGGCATATACTTGGGCAAGAGTGACCTCATCTTTTGCCTGGATGTTCTTGCCTAGTAATGTCAAACTCAAGGTTGAGTCCTATGAGAAGCTCAAACACCTTGTTTCGTTCCACCAGTTCTCTAAATGTCTCTGTGAATATGTTTATGTAACACTATCCCAAATCTCCTTGGCTGAGGTCATCCAGAGGTAATGCTGACTTATATGGGGCTGCATAGAGTTGACCAATCACCTAATCACTGTGTAGTTCTCTTGCATCCATTTCTCATATGTAGGGTCTATCCCTGGAGGTTTCACCTTACTACCTATGAGACACCCTAGTTTACCTCTACTGCAAATGTAAATCCGTATGGACTGTGCCCAGGCAAGATAATTGGTTCTATCTAGTTTAATTGTGGTCACACCAGTAAAAAAGGAACCTATTGGACCAACCCCGGATACCAGCATTTGCTTCATTTCACTTCCAAATTGTTCCATTGATCAAACGAAAATCAAACTAGTTTTTCAGTCTTTATAGACCTAACCGAGGTTAGTACAGTACCTAGAGATTCAAAAACTAGGGTTTCATTGCACTTGGCTATCGGGAAGGAAGAGAGAAGTAGTTGCTCCTACCAAAGCTTCCCAACCTTCTTCAAATCTCAACCGCACACTTCTAGGGATCAAACTACACCTCCCAAGACCTAAGCGCCACACCCAATCCTTCTCCTTAACCTGTAACTTGAAATCTCTCTAGTCGGCTAGGGTTTTGGGCAGAAAAATTACAGCTTCAATTCCTGGCAATTTTAGGCCAGATTCTAACACTCCAAACCCTCTACAAACTAGGCAAATAGTCCTCTAATTGATCAGAAACTTATCTCTCCATATACTCTTCTAACCGAAGGGTGTATGGGAAAAAAAAAAAGAAGGAGGAAGAACTGCTTTGATACCAGGATGTGAATCTGTCCTTCAAATCTGATATAAAACTGATAAAAAATAAGAAAAGTGGGAGAGAAAAGAAAGCTACAGCAGAATAGAAGAGGAAGATGGAGAAGAAGAAGAGAGTTCGATGGGTTTCTCTCTCCCTTCACTAATCTTAATAAATTATGCTAATTACAAGTCTGCCCTTTAAGTGGGCGGCCAGCAAAGCAAGAACTTAAAAGAAATTAAAAAGAGATTAACAGGCCCATTAAGAAAAGGCCCATCAACTCATAAAACAGACAGAACACTACTTAAACATAAAACAAATATTAGGGCCCATTCGGTCCAGTCTCTCTACAAGAAGGTTATAAACAAAATAAAAAATAAATTTTCAAAAACAAAGGATTTACATTAAAAAGAATATATATGTAATAAAAAGGACAAATATAATTTGACTATGAAGAAAAAAATTCTAATCTAAAGTACACATATACAGATTGAGCCTAAAAAATTGTACTCTGAAATACCTGGCATGGCTAGATGGAAAAGGCGACATTGACTTGCAAACTAAAGCAGCAATTAAGTAGATTCCATCTCGAATAAATGGAGCCTAGTTCTCAATTGAAACAAGTATTCATTGACATATGTTACCTTAAAGATGGGATCAATATCCTCATCAATATCAAACCAGCAGAATTCGCTATTGATCTTAGAAGCAGTGTAGAGAGCAATTTCTTTCTGCATGTAAAGTTGCATATGAAATGCTGAGCAAAAATATCTGTAAACTTCAAGGTTAACAATCAAAATGATACCATTCCAAAGAAAAGTAAAAAAATGCAATGACAAAGTGGAGAAAAGAAAGTGCACAAATATTTATGCAGAAAATGATAAAAAAATTGATAGATGGAGCGAAAGCGAATTAGTACAGAGTTTTAAAGAACAAAGAAAATTCATAAACATCAAGCTCTGAAATGCACTATTTATTTAAAGTGGAGAAAAACCACCATGCATGATATTCAAATATTTATAACATAATGGCATGACAGCAACAATAATTTTAGTGCTGAGATGCAAAATTTGAAAATATACTTGGGTAAAAAAGCTCATTTTGATTAAAGCAACTAAAATTTTAAACCCAAGCTATATACATATTACCAACCTGGATCAACATGAAGCCCAAACAGAGGCAAAAGTTCAGAGAGGCAAGAAAGTTGTATGCAATTTTCTTTGGATACATGGATCAGCAAATGGGATGGCCAAGACTAGCAAGAAAGGGGACCAGTAAGAGCAAACTTTTTGTGGTGTCACAGACACTGATGGAGATTTGATGTAATGTAAACAGAACCTTTTAAAAGCTAAGGCAGGGAACCATGTGAATATGATGATGGGCTGGGTATTACTTGTGCCTTTTGTAATGGAAGTTGCCAATAAAAAACAAGATGTATACCCATGAGAGAAGTTAAAGAGTTGGTTAAATAATTAGTAGATCTCCTGATCCAGCTGAATGAGATGTTCCCACTGTGGCCAATTATCTAGTCTGTTCAGTACAATGGCATTAAACTGAAAAACCCTATCCATCATCTCTTAACCTCACTATGACTTGAGAACCCTCCACAACATGTGTGGTATATCCTAGAACATAAATCAGCCACAAAGCTCATAAAAATCACAGTAACTCAAACCTTACTGAGCCTCCATTCCCCACCACCGCCAGTCCTGACTACACCTACACAATCTCCTATTCTGACTCCTAAAAATGCCACCAATGCCAGAGAGGAGGCTGCATTACAGGTCAACCAGTCCAACCAGATAAAACCAGTGTTTTAAAAACCGACCCGGAGGCTGAACCGTTTCCCACCAGGTCATGGGTCACCAGTGACACGTCAATATATAATGTATGCATGTATACACACACATTATTCAGAATATATAATTATATTCTACATATAACATATATATTTTGTTATTTCGGGTTTAATTTTTTATACTAAAAAATAAGATTTGAGAGCAAAAAAAAGTGTTTTTTGGCAAAAATAGTGGACCAAGGCTCCTTCCGATAACTGAGCGCAAAGTTATGACCTCCGGAGTTTTCTTATAATTTATATTTTGTAACCTGTAACCCACTGGTTGTGTCAAGTGGGTCATTGAGACTCAGTGATTTAGAAGACATGCTTAGGCACACAGGTGAGGCACATCTCAAGGACTACGCCTTGCCTAGACCCAGGTGCAGCACCTTTACAAAGGCATGTGCCTGGTGCACCCTGCACCTCAGCCCAGGAGTGTGCCTTTGTTAAAGTTTGCACTTTTTACCTTTTTGTTAAGCATGGCAGTTGGGCCGAGGGCTCTGCCCCCAGACCCCCCTCCCCCCCTTTTACTAATACAGTTCATTCCTCTTTATTTACAAGACATTTTTTTAAAAGATAAAGAACTATAATTAAAATTAAAAACCAATCTTTTATGAATGACATAAGAACTCAAGACCCTAGCATGGACACATTGCCACAAGGGGCTCAATACAAAGCAGCTTGTAGAACTAGGGTAAAGCAATTAGGAAGAAATAAAGAGATTGAAAGATTTACATACTTGAATGTGTTTATGTTATGTTTATTATTTTAATTTGAACTAATACGCTTTTTAAAACATTTAGTTTAAAATTTAAGTACACATTTTTATTAATCTATTTTTAATATTTTTTAAATTTTTAGCAATTTCATTTTTCTTCAAAAATTTTAAAAAATTTGCATCTCACTTCAAAAGGTTTGTGCCTCACCTTGCACCTTGTGCCTCAGGTGCAAAAAGCCCCTTGCACATTTTTTTCCCTTGCGCTTTTAAAACACTGGGTTGAGAACATCGGATAGAACAGTTAAAACCTCATACAACTTGGTCCTCCCAAGCCCCTGCCTGGAAAGACCATCAGCCAAGTAAGCAAGCTTTTGCTTCTATATACTAACACCAAAATGGAACTCTCTGAGACTTTTCAACCAAGAAAGATAAGGTAAAATGCCTGAGAAAAGTCTAAAATTTTGACAAAGCATTATATGTGCTATAAATCACACACCTGATAAAATGCCAGGCATTGAAGCACAAATTTCTCCATAGAATCTAGTTCTAAATCCAACACAGCATCATAGTCCTTGACCTGTAACAATTGCATCTAATTTAAGTAACAAGAAACAGAAGACCAATAAATGTCATAATACCAGTAAAAGGACACCAATAATACTAAAAGGCCATCCAATACCGCATCTCTATATTCTCCTACTGCATGGTAACAAGAACCCCGTAAATACAAGCACTCAATGTTTGAGTTCTCAATGCTTAAACCAAGGGATAAATCCTTTATAGCATTCCTGCGACAAACAATCACCAATAATCACAAAATTTTTGTGCTGAAGGAGAGAATAAGATAGAATAAGTTTATGCACTAGACCATAAGCATCAGATAGAATAAATTCCTTTTAGCTTCTAGTGTTAGTAAGACCATAATTTCCTAATAGACAGCTGTTTTTATAAAAAGGTAAAGTTTTAAATAAACCAACCAACAATAACAACAATCCAGGGCAGGCACAAGAAGATGCCTCCTCCAGGAGATGCCTACTGTAACATAACTAGTTTGGTAAAACATCAAAGACTCAATCACTTCTTTCAATGGAAATAGATTTATCCAGGACTAATCAAGTATAAGAAGGGTGCAGTTACCAAGAAGAAAAGTTTAGAAGATGTGTTTTGATATAAAACCTGTGTAAGAAAGAGGAAAAGAAAGAGAAGAGAAGGTTTGTGCAGAGAAGAAAAGAGGAGAGAAATTGAAGAGAATGGGAGAAGCCAAAAATTAGGTCTGGCCGCCCCTTTCATTAGATTATATAGTCACAAATAAAAACGGAATACAAAGACAAGTATGCCCTTAGTAAGTCGGCTACTTGTAAAAACTAAATAAACACTTATAACTTAAACATAAACTAATGGGCCTTGGGCCCAATAACTCCGTAACTATGTTATGTAAATAAAAACAAGTGATATCAGCCCAAAACAATAACCAACAGTTATCTCCTCAATAGAAAGCAGTGAAGCCTTTCCAACTCCTTCATCTGGCCCTGACCCCTTATTAAATTGGTCCCCCATGTGACCTTTCGTCTCTTGCTCCCCTCCCTCTATATTAACTTCTAAGCCACATGTGCCACTTTCAATTACTTATTTAGCCAGCTTTGAGTGGTCCCCACTCCCCAGAGTCAGCCCTCTCCACCTTCCCAATGTCTCAAAACTCAATCAGCCCCAACCCACTGCCCCCTCTTATTATTAGCAACTTTTGTTCCAAAAATGCCCTCACCTTCAACCTCTCACTCAACTTTTATTTGGAGCCCAATCGACTTCCTCAGCTTCGGACCAGTCAATGCAAAGATATTACACCACTTTGTCCATGCAACCATGTTTTCAAGCCATCTACCAGGGTAAGACCCTTCAACCACAACTCTTAAGTCATACGGTTCTCCACCGTAATGAAGCAATAAAGAATCAAGAACAAGGTGGGCTTCCTCTACCTGAATTAGGATACGCGCAGAAAAGAGGTTTTTCCAAGCAATGGTTCTTGAATCAACAAAGCGTAAACTACCACACATTTCTCAAATCGTCCTGAGCGTTTGAAAACTCCATGCGTGCAGAGGGATGCCAAAAAAATTTATCCAGACAAAACTTGAGGGCCCCAAGTTTCTTAGAGCCCCAACAAGAGGGTTCCATCTTCCCAACCTTAACTCTGGATAGCGTATTTGATGTTGTTCACGATTAAGAACATCCAGAGTTTCATCTTTGCTACTAAATGCAAAAAGAAAAGAACCTACATTAAGTCTCCTCACCTGGAAAGGCTCATTCAGTTTCCATTCAGCCAAAGCCCAAGCCCAAATCTCTTCCACAACTGGTTCAGCATTGACAAAATGCCCTACCAAACTTCTATTTAGCAACCTGAGCCTATCAAAAGTTCCTTCAGTTGAACTCACAAACACCACTCTCATATTGTACCCCTTGTGGGTTCGAGCATACTTCTCATCCCTCCAAATTTTCAAGGAAACCTGAGACCTCAAACAAACAAAATGGAGCTCCTTGTTTCTTAAATGAGTTCTTGACCTGTACAGTAACTGGCTTGTTATCAAACATTGGCCAAGGCAAGGCCTGTTAAGAAATTTCACCAAAATGATCTTCTCACCTACTGTCAATCAAAAATCTATCCAATTTGGATAAAGATGGGCATGATCTCAAACTGCTCCATGTGAATTTTTCCCCATGAAGCGGCAAATCCATGAGATTCTATCCATCTCCAAAATCCACCCTTTCCTGAGCTAACTGGAAACCACCATTTTTATCCATGTGCAGGCAATCTCTTACTGTATCTGGGAGTTAAAAGTATCCCTTATGTACTTTTATTGCCCTACCATACTAATGAACTGTACTTCATATTTCTCAAGAAATAAAAAAAAAAAGAAGCAAAATCATATTTTTACAAGCAGCCCAATGAAATATTGTACTTTCTATGATCTATCTTTTTTCTTTGGATCCTGGCTTGGCTAGGGGATCTTTTCTTGTTATCCTTGTCAGAGCCATGATCTTTAGGTGGATCTTTTCTTGCACATCCTTTTATAACAATTTATAAATTTAATATGATTATTCACTACCTGTCAAGAAAAATAATGGGGTTTGCAGGTCAGTTGCTAACCAGAACAACCAAGAACAGAAGAGACAATAGAAATCAGAAGAGACCATTACAACCAAGAACAGCTAACCAGCTGACAATACAAACAAAGCTATATATTGAGATTTGAGAATTACAAATCAGAACCTGGCCCAGCAATACCCCACAAAAACCATTGGTTAGAGGCCCCTGCCTTAGCTAGGCTATCATCAACCACGTTAGCCAACCTTGGAACCCACTTGAACAAGCAAGTCAGTTGCTTTCAGAAGTGACCAAATGGAGGATGGACTAAATTGAACCCTTTTGCAAAATAAAAGAGCTGCTTTTGGATATTTGGTAAGAGACAGCAAGGGAGTTCTTTTCACATCCAAGTTCAGGAAATGTTCTGCATCAACTCCCCAACAAGCTGAAGCTCATGCAGTTATGGAGGCATTGGAGTTGGTCAATGTTTTAAAGTTGTTATGAGAGGAAGTTGAAAGTTATTGCAAGCAACTGGAGGTCTTGAACCCTCCACCATGGTGCAGCTTTTTCCTGTAAAAGAGATTGTATTTTTTTTATAAAAGATATTTATTCCAGGGCTTGGAAGTGGTCTTCAGACATGTGAGAAGAGAAGCCAACCTTGTGCACACTTGGCTGCCCAGCTTGGCCTATTTGAATCTAAAACTCTCATGGGTGAAGTTCCAGAATGGATGAAAATGTTTTAGTCAAAGACAAAGTCTCTGTTGAATCAGTTATATAGTTTGTATTTTGTTCATTTTTAGTTTTTAGTGTTTTCTTGGTTGTTTTCATAGTTAAGTGCTTGGTAGTCTTTCTTCTCTTTGAGTTAGTGCAAATGTAATGCCATATTATCTGTTTAAGGCTCTGTACATCCTCTCATGTACACTCTTCCTCTTTTTGTTTATAATACAAGTTATCTTTCTTAAAATCAAAAAAAGGTCTGTGCCTCTGTGAGTCTTGTTCGGTTTGTGTTGGTGGCTAAGACTAATCTGAGATAATCCGAAAGAAAACTGAAAGACTACCTGTGCTCTCCCATTCCATGGCGTAGCAACCCACGCAAGTGATAAGCTTTGGCAAACCTATACCATCAGAAGATTCTGACTACAAAGTATATTTTAAGAGAAAATAATGGAAAAGAATATTAGTATCAACGTTACCTTCCATCAATTTGAAGAACATGTTCAAGGCACTGCAAAGCCTTTATTGGGTTTGCTAAATCTTGGTAAAACTGCATGTCACATCTCACATGTAAATCAAAACTATCTTTATTTGAGCCATTACAAAAGATGTGTTAAACAAAAAAAAAAGTATACAAGTAAAGACTCTGCCAAAGGAGTAAAGACAAAAAGAAAATAAGTCAAAGAAAAGCAGGGAATGACAAATATAAAGAATCAAGCCTGCACAATTCTCTCTACTAACAATTTCCATACAAAGAAAGAACACCCCCCCCAGTGCCACAAAAAGCATCCACGAACCTCACAACCAAAGACATCCAACTGACCATCCTTAAACAAGGCTACCCTGCACTAAAACCAATCAACGCACCACAACAAGCATCACCCATGCTTCTAGACATCCACAATCAACTAGAAAGTAAAACATCAACAAGCTCACCAGGATCCCTGATTCCTCACCTCATTCATGTCTCTCTGCCTTTTCTTGTTTAGGAAATTTTTAGGCAACTACTATTTTGAATAGTTTATATTTTCTGCTTTCTATTTTAGGAGTTTCCATTTTCTGGTTTCTATGTAAGAAGTTTTTATTTTCTTGAGTTTCTTTTTTTAAAGAGTACTAGGATTCTAATTAGGAGTCAACTGTAGCTTTACTAGTCTAGATATACATGTAAATTTGTCCAAAACAGCAGAATTGAATGAGTTAATTTCTTTTTCTCAATAGCTACTTTCTTCTCTTGAAATCATTGTTGGAGAAACACGTGGTTACTTCTTTCTTTTGTTACTTTCTAGTAGTTCCCTGCTTAGAAGAAAACCAGCAACTATTCTCTGGATTTTCCCCTAGATTCAGAGCATACTTTGTTGGATTTTGAAGCAAGGCTACCCATCGACCTTGCCTTCTGTTACAATCCATTTGTCCCACATTGGTAGTATGGGATGCTAATATGAGATATCCCACATTGGTATTATGGGATGCTTTTGTGGCTGTGGGGTATAGATGTGCTTGGGTTCCCTTCCTCTAACAGCTAGCTTTTAGGGGTGAGTTCTCCAAAGGCACGTAACAAATGGTATCAGAGCCTACACTATGCCTCCTAGTTGCAATCGTGCGGTGCAGGTGGTGACATCGGTATTGCAGTGTTCAGCTGGGACTAGGTGGACTAGTGCAAAGCCAATCTGCGTGGGCGCCAGGACTGCGGAGCGTGGTGGAATGTTATGATCCATTTGTCCCACATTGGTAATATGGGATGCTAATGTGAGATATCCCAAATTGGTAGTATGGGATACTGTTGTGGGGTATATATGTGCTTGGGTTCCCTCCCGGTAACAGCTAGCTTTTAGGGGCAAGTTCTCCCAAGGCACATAACACCTTCCATCTACCAGAACTATGTTAGGAACTTCATCTTACTAAAGGTCAAGCTCAACTAATCAATGTTCTGTAACCTACCTGTCTATGACTCAATATTTAAGGCCCTGATTTTCTTTTTCTTGGAGACTTCCCTTCAAAGCAAGTAGCTTATGGAATTTTATGACCAGGAGAATTCATAGTCTTGCTCATGAATGTTTATGACTAGGGTGTGGGACTCTCCAACAGAGCTGCTTTATCACGTCCTTGGAAGTTGACCACTAATTTTCCTTGTTTTAGCAGGAATTGTCCCTCTTGCATAGTAAATTTTGATACTAGGAAGATCTACTTCCATGTTTCTCAAAACAAATGTTCCACAAAGCATCTATTCTCAACAACTATACCACAGGATACTAACAATAGAACATGCAATCCATTTGTCACCTTGCAGATTGTATACAAAATTAAAAAGAATAAAGAAAACAAAGTTATATTGTACCAAAACCAAAAAATTAAAAAATAATAATAAAGAAAACAAAGTCATAGCACATATCTTCACAAGGATACCTGTGCAAGATGGGCCCATCCCTCAAGGAAATTTGGATCGAGTTGTATTGATTTCTTATGTGACTCTTCAGCCCTTGTGTACTCACCAATTTGAGATAATGCCAAACCCTACAAATGGAAAAAAAAAACACTCAATCCAAAATTTTACAAATCCTAACAGAAGATAAATGCATGGATCTTTATTAATATTATCTTCAACTCCTGGAAATACTTTATATTTGAATATACTGGAACCAGCATTGTGCAAAAAAAAATATGAAGGTATTTGTGAGAGGTTCCACTTTGTGAACAAAAAATGTTGAAGGTTAAGTTTGTATCCACTCCACCCCTCCCAAATAGGAGGGACCAATGTTGTGTGAATAAAACAAATCCTCAACTCTTGAAAGTATAAGGTTTTAGCTACTCACTAAGTAAGTAAATGCAGATTTATTATTCTTATCAACTGCCACACATGAAGATAGATCTTCAACAGCTGCATTGTAATCCTTGAACTTGAATCTAACAATTCCTGCATTAGTTTCAGGTTTGAGTATCATTGTATGCCATTTTCCTGTAAGTAGCTGATGAAATACAAATGAAAACATAACATGACCTCTTTGCCTAAAATAATTTTTTTTTTATTGTTTAGTACTAAATAAAGTGTCAAAATATGAGAATATTAATGAATAAATACAGAATCCAAATCTCATGAAGAAATAAAAGACAGAACATCTCAGGCCCTCGTGTGGGTTACTCATACAAATATGCCCAGGAAAATCTCAGCTTGGCAAAGGATACCTCATAACAGGCTAACAGCCCACTCGAAAATGCATAGATTGATAATCTACCATCAAAATGGCCAATCTTGGAGCCTAATATGAGGCATTCAATCTAGGTATCAAAAGCCTTGCCTTTAAAAAGATAGCAAATTCGGATTTATCCAACCTATGACAATTTGAGAAAGTCCTAAGAAATCCCCTAGTGGCTCGTGGATTTTGATAATCTGAAACCTTTGAGAAGAGAGAAGAGTTTGGCACTTGCAGTTGACTAAGTCAGCTGATCCCAACAATCAAGTAGGCTTGGATTACCATGATTTTACTATCTATATAGAAACTCCTCCAATCACCAATTGCCTGGATTATTAAATTCCTACTCAACTCAATAAAGCCTTATGACAACTATTTGGGATCTGCTATATGAATTATATTTTGCAATTCCACTTTGTAAGGACCACATCCCCTATTTAATTATGAGTTCTTAGGGTTTTTTTTCACTGATTCAATCAATATTTTTTTTTAAGGAATGTATAGGATTGCATTATAGAAAAAAGACCAAATTACAGCAGTCTTTAAAAAAAATGAGAAGATTGGCATCAGAGCTTTACAAAAGACCATCTCAACTCTATATTCATTATACAAAAAAAAAAGAGTTATAGTTTAATCCTTTAATCAGTAACAGTCCACACAGTATCTTTTTCCATCTTCCCCTAGATATTCTAGGACTCTTAACCTGTATCATGCTTACTCATTCTCAGCATGGTTTGCAATAGCAATGAGATTTAATGAAATTTCACTGAAATCCCACTCTTTCTCTAGGGGGTGATATTAACAAGTTTTAGATGTTTAAGGGGGATCTGAAGGAAATTGTGGCACAGTCTTGCCGGTTAGTGTTGACTGATAGGAATTGGAAATTTGTAGGGGAGGTGCTGAAGGTGTTTTTTTCTTTTTTCTTTATTTTGTCCTTTTCTGTTTGTTGTGGTGATTTTGTTATGATAGAAGAGGGAGTTCAGCTTGTGCACTTTGGAGATGTTGACGATGTCTCATCACCAGAGCTTGTGTTCTTCTTGATGAAACTTCCTTTTACAACAGAAAAGTGAGTCCTAAAAAAAATTCCCCCTTATATCACCAACATATAGGCATATAGCTGATATATTGGAGATTTTTCAAAAGTCACCAAACAATTAAACATTTAACATTCAAAAATATCAGAATATCAATGAATTTTTTTAACATTACCAAAATCATCTGAGTTTTTCCCAAAAAGAAAAAATGGAGATTCATAAAATATTTTGTTGGTTGTATGTATAAATACTAGATCAATATATACAAAAATATATGATATATATGTATGTATGTATGTATGTATACACATAATATATGTATTGCATGCTCATTGGATAAAATCAATGGAGATTTTCAATCCATCTTCAATTGAGGATCGTAAGAGGATGGATAACAGTTGTGAATTCCATACCAGCAAGGAGACATATACAAGCAATTTGGAGTCCACCAAGCATAAACAGTTTAAAGTTCAACTTTAACAGATGTAGTTTTGAAAAACCAGGAAGATCACATTTGGATCATGGTTTTAGAGATGATAATGGAGTTATGTTGGCTTTGTTCCCAGGACATATAGGCCTAGGAGAATCATTAAAGTAACTACAGAGATCTTGTGGTGGAAGGCAAAACTCAGGTAATGGTGTGCTGGACATCACAAAACAAACCAGGACCATGGCTGTATAGGCACATAGTAAGGGAGACAAATCATTTAATAACAGAACTCAGGGCTCAAGTGGTATGGACACCAAGATTGGCAAATAGCATGGAAGAAACTCTAGCTAAACAAGGAGCAGACAAAAACCAATTTTTTCGGGGTTACTTCAAGTGATATAGATCCCTAGGATTGTATGAGAACTATGTGTAAATTTACAAGTTTTTTTTATGAATAAAGATAATTTTATTACTTCAAAAGATAATGAAGATCTCATACAACAGCCCGTGGAGAGGTGCAAGCTGCAGCTTCTCTCAACTGATTACAAAGAAACTTAAAAGGAAAAGGAAACCATTTTTTTAAGAGTTGAAAGTAAAATTCATTAAAAGAAAATTTTAATACAAAAAAATACACTATTCTCTCCTTACCAACATCCTTAGAGTCACAACTTACTTCCGAGCTTTAATCTTCAAACCTCTCACCTATCTCCCCATCTCCCTCTTTATCAGTCCCATCTTCCTCCACTTTTCCTTCCTAAATCTAGCTTCTTTTCCTCTTCCCCCCCTTCTAAACCTACAGCCGACAGAGACACTGAATCCCAACTCCCTCCCTGAAATGCTTCCTTGGAGCTCAACCCAAAACAAGCCAAAACTTAAGCTTAAATGTACCTACCTTCTGGTTACCCTCTTTGTCTGCAACAGGAAAACCCCCACTTTGTGCACTTGAATCACTAGCCACAAAAGGCAACTCGCGGCATCGAGAGCACATTTTCCTTCTCTACGCTGTCATATCTAACAATTTTCCAAACCCATTCCTCAGTCTTCCTTCTACAATCTTTGGAGCGGAAAACTTAAAACTTTTTTTCTTTTTAAAATTCTCAAAATTTTACTTTGAGTTCTCTAACTTTAAACTTGACTTTCAAATTTAAGAAGTGGACCCCACTCCCAGGGCCATCAGAATTGAAAGACGAAAACCAACCATCAGCACTCACCTCTGGCCTCCCCACCTCAGACATGTCTTTCTATGCGTGACCACAACATCTCATGTATTACACCACAAGTGTGAAGTTGTCTTATACCACCAGTCCCAAGTCCGGATAAAGGAGGGTTGCATCAAGTAGCAGTTGGCACTAAAAACTTTTACTAAACTCTAATGGTCATGGATCTTGATATTGTACATCTCATGTATTATAGAAATGTTGTTCCATAGTAAATATATAAATCAATTTATTAAATAACAAAGAAAGGAAAAGGAAAAATTAAGAAAACTTATAAGATAAACATAATTATATCGGTGTAACATATGCATTCAATTAATTTAAACTAAAAGACAATGAAATATGTTCCTTTGATAGTAAAGAATGAACACCTTTAGTAATCAATGACTCAATGTACCTATTTTAGTCTCTATCTTTTCTTATTTGATATGCATAATTGCTTGCTATGGTTCTTTTGAGTCTTAAACATGAAATTTATACTTTTAGTCAGTGTTTTAAAAGGCGTGGAGCCAAATATTTTCTTATACCACTGGTGTGAGCTTGCCTTATACCACAGGTTCCAACTCCCAAGTCTGGATAAAGGAGGGTTGTGTCAAGTTGCAGTTGGCACTAAAACTTTTCCTAAACTCTAATGGTCATACATGTTCCTTTGATAGTAATGAATTGAACACCTTTAGTAATCAACATACCTATTTTAGTCTCAATCTTTTCTTTATTGATATGCACAATTGTTTGCTATGGTTCTTTTTGAGTCTTAAACATGAAATTATACTTCTAGCCAGTGTTTTAAAAGGCATGGAAGCCATATGCCTGGAGGCGCGCCTCCAAGCAAGGTGCCACCAAAATGCCTTGAGGCATATACTAGAGGCATTGAGCCATTGACACCTATAAGGCGTGCTAGAGGCATTGACACCCAAAATGTCACCAATGTACACCTCATACACCTTTTTCATGAGGCGTCCTCATATGAGAAGACAGAAAAAAAAAGGAAAAAAAAAGGAAAGGAAAAGAAAAGAAAGGGAAGGGAAATAAAAAGAGAGAGAGAGAGAGAAAAAGAGAGAAAAGAAAAATGAGATCCTCCTTCCTCTTCTTCCTCCTCCCCCTCCTCCTCCTTCTTCCTCGTGCCTCTAGGTAGTGCAACACCTCACGTCACGCCTTCATGTTTTAAAATATTGTTTCTAACAATCCAAGGACTCCCATTAACAAATGCTATGCTTTAGGCATCTTCTTTAATCAGTAAAAATCTTTCATTAATAACAGAGAGATTAACATACAATAGCTAAAGATTGCATAGGAATAAATTGCAATCTCCAACAATCAGTTACAATTCTGCCCAATACAATGAAGATCTATTCGCCCCTTGTTTAGCTAGGGTATCAGTCATCCCATTTGCATCCCTTTTAACCCAACCAAACTGAGAGTTGAACTTCCTTGCAAGTGTGTCAATTTCTYTRAAAATAAACYYRAGCTTCCAAGGTGCTGATGTGATGTTTTTGGCCCAAGAGATGACCAATAGAGAGTCTCCTTCAATTTCTAAGTCTGTTGTTCCTCTGCTCAGCCATCTTTAGACC